GAAGATATATCTATTGATTTTATTGTGGGTTTACCTAAATCTGGAAATTTTGACACTGTTGCGGTGGTGGTTGACAGGTTGAGTAAATATTGCCATTTTATTGCACTATCTCATCCTTATTCTGCCAAAACTGTTGCCGCACGCTTTTGTGAACATGTCATCAAGTTGCATGGTATGCCCCGCTCCATCATCTCAGATCGAGATCCCCTTTTCCTAAGCGCTTTTTGGCAGGAACTATTTAAGTTGAGCCAAACACGTCTGAGGATGAGTACTGCTTATCACCCTCAAACAGATGGACAAACAGAGGTTGTTAACCGTTGTCTTGAAGCATATCTGCGCTGTTTTGCACATGAACAGCCACGTACTTGGAGTAAATTCTTGTGTTGGGCTGAGTACTCATTCAACACTAGCTTTCATTCTTCTGCCAACACAACACCCTTCAGAATTGTGTATGGCAGGGACCCACCTCCATTACATCCCTTTACTAAGGGGGAAACAAACATTGCTGAACTAGCAGATCAGCTCGAAACAAGAGATCACATGCTTCGTTTACTTCGAGACAACCTGAAGAAAGCTCAAGATCGAATGAAGTCTTATGCAGATCAGAATCGGCGTGAACTCACCTTCAAGGTGGGTGATGATGTCTTCCTTCGAATCCAGCCTTTCAAGCAACACTCACTTGCTCCTCGAAAGTATACTAAGCTTTCTCCAAGGTTCTTTGGTCCATATAAGGTCTTGCGTAAGGTGGGCCCGGTTGCTTACGAACTTGAACTCCCTCCATCAGCAAGAATTCACCCAGTCTTCCACGTCTCACTGCTCCGTCCAGCTCATGGATGCTCGGCTACAGACCCACCTGCAGATTTACCCCTTTCAGATGACTTTGTGATGCTCTTAGAACCCGCCCAAGTGCTAGCACACCGTTGGAAAGCAGCCCACCTGGAGCTCCTGATTCAGTGGAAGTCCAGACCCGTGGAGGAAGCAAGCTGGGAGGATTATGATCTTCTATTGCAACAGTTTCCTGAGTTTCGCCTTGAGGACAAGTCGGTTTTTCAGGGGGAGAGTATTGATACAAATCCCAAACCAATCAGGACTTATCAGAGGCGTAAAAAGAGGGCTTAAGTTTGACTGAGTTTAATTCTTTTATTAGCACAATAATAGGGCTTACGTTTTGACTAAGTCTGATTAATTTAAAGCGTGTTCCCATTCTGTTAGCACAATAATTGGCATCTGTTAGCACAATAATAGGCCCACTCTTGCTGTCATGGTCAGTTAGTCTTATCTTTCTGTTAGTGCCTAAAAAGTAGGGATATTTGGTTATTTCTTTGTATTCCAGCATTATAAATATGCTAGTCCATCCTCCTGGAAGGATATCAGTTTATCAATATATTTCATAGCATTGGAGATACTCCTTGGCTTCTATTACCTCTTCTCAGTGAGATTCTTATTGTGAGAGGGTTAGGAGAGAATTCATTCTTCAGTTTCTATCTTTCATTTTTCATAATACCGTCCTGCTCCTATCACGTGGAGAGCATGAAGATGGGATGGTGTTGATAGCCTATGCCTACGACCAGTTATCAATTATTATCATGTCATCTCACTAGAGTCGGTCCCTACGCGCGCGCACACACAACCTCCCTCCTAATGAGTTTGTCTAGTTTGACTCTTTTTGGAGTCAAATTGGACAAACTTTGATCATCAATTAAATAAAAAATGGCATTACATATTGGTGCAAAAATGATATAATTGGATTTAACTTGTAAGATATTTTAATTTTTTTATTTTATTAATATACAATGTAATTTTTATTTAATTGATGGTCAAACCTGGACAAATTTATTGGGATGGAGTGTGCGTGTGTATTTGCAGTACCTTGAACTCTTAGACTCGGCTATGTGTTTACCTCCCTCTTTACACTTCAAATAGTTGATGTCAATTTCACTTTTGCTAGTTGTGTTTCCCCGCAGCATTTCATTGCCTCGTGAGATAATTTTATTTTCTTGCATTGATATCAGAACTTACAATCCAACTTGCTTGATGTAGGGCAGCTGTGGGTTTTGGACTCTGTTCCAGGGAAAGTGGGCCGTGAAAATAGTGATGGAGAAGTTGAGAAAGTTTTGCATACCTTGAAGAGCTTACCTTCATCTATACCATCACGAAAGTGAAGTCTATATCTTAAAGAATTCTAATGCAGGATACATGTCTAATATAGGACTTAAAAGCATGCTAGTAGGTGTACACCAAATAATGTATACCATCCAAATTTTGTACTATACAGACCTAACTCCTCGTTTGTGTCGCACAAACACAACTCATCTGTACAATCACACTTCGTCTCTGTCGCAGATGATAGTCTGTGAAGTATAACTTTTGGTTGGTGTACACTTGGTGTACAAATGGAATTTTATAGGAATTAAGATCACTTACTTGAATGTGCTTTATCATAAAAGAGTCATTATTTACAATATTTTAACTTTGGGTAAAGAATGGACTAAATCAAAACTACATTAAAGTTCCCTTTCCTTTTTACTTTCTATGAGGTTTTGGGCGGTAAAGAAAACAACCTCTCTGGCTTTTATAGGGGGTGAGGTTGCGTATGTCTTGACCCCCACACCCCACTACACCCCACCGGAGTTGTGTTATACTGAGCTTGTTTGTTTGTTGCCACTTGAATGTGCTACTTTATATAACTCACATGTGAACTAGTCCAGTAAACCATCACAAAGTACTTGTATTCGAGATTTTGCTGACTCAACTCTGAGGATCATCCTTTATTTTCATTGACATTTGTGTGCATAGAGAGTCAACGTTCATGAGAATATTTATTTTAACACCTCCCAAATGTTGCACCCTCGTTTGAACGATTGCACAAACCAAGTTGGCATCTCCGTTGCTCTAACCTCTCCGCCTCTTTCCAAATGTGTTTAGTTCTTATTAGATGAAAGTGTGTCTTGTTCCCAGATGGTTGGTGGATTACTTGTTGGAGCATGGGTTTTCAAAGGCACTATCAGATTGGCTAGGCAGCAACCTCAAGAAATCGGGAGATGAAATGACTTGGACATTCAATATAGATGCTGCTTTCCAAATGTTCAATTCTTACTGGTAAACTGATTTGTTCAACTTTATTCGTTGAATAAAAAAATAACAAAGAGAATGATACACCTAAAATCATGCATGTTCTCAGGGAGACGGATTATTGGCCTTTATTGGAGCATCCACCCAAATGTACAGAGATATCCATCGTTCGTGCAGAGAAAAGCGACCGGTGGGAACCTGAGGTAATCGATCGGCTGCAAAGCCTTGCAAGCAGAAAAGCCAATGAAGGTGAAGGCAAGTTCTCTTATCATGTTCTCCCAGATTCTGGTCATTGGGTTCATGTTGATAATCCCAATGGGCTCCTCCAGATCGTTGCTCCAAAATTGGCCACCCTGGTTTAGCAACTTCTCTTCTGTCATTGATGGATCCCTGCACTAAAATTTGTACTCTCTCTGTTTGAAAAAACAGGTTCACCTTCATTTTTAACTCATCCCAGAAAACACTTCTCTGCACACCTAAAATGTATAAAATACACCCCATTTCTCCTCTATTGCGGGTAGAAATTATTTTGGGGGTATTTTAGACAATTAGATGGGGTAGAAGTGTTTTGTGGGGTGCACAAAAAATAGAGATGGAACTCGGGGGGAGTATTTTTTTTTTCTCAGAAAAGAGACATTTTCGATTCTTTCACCAATTGATGAATGCCCCGTGCCATTCCACGCCTGCGGGCAACAAGTGTAAGTGGTTCAGGAGCATCCATTTTGAAATAACTCTGATGAGCTATTGTAATGGTTTCTTGTTATGCACCTAATTTAATAAGATGATAGAACATTGGATCAATCTCAAGTAACTAGTAATTAACTATACAAGTCACCCTTTTGCTGCAAAATTGATTTTCTTTGAAGGAAAAGATATTACATAGAGGTTGTTTGGGTGCGTGGTGCTACACTTAATTCACTGTGCCCTGGTAGGTTGAGAAGTACCACCTTTGTACCAAATTAAATTGCCTGGTTATTAATTTCATTCAGAGTGCGTTTGATATTCGGAATCCGATGGAATTGAAATTGAATTGGAATTGAAATTCTATGGGATTCAATTCCATAGAATTGAATTCACCGATTCCAATTCATTTTTTGCATTATCAATTCCAAATCCACATAATTTTTGTGCTACCAAACACCAGAATTGGAATTGAAGTTCTCAATTCCAATTTCATAGTTTGAATTCCGTGTATCAAATGAGGCCTCACTTCATTTGATAAAATAATTTAGTTGTGTCACCACTAGTTTTGTACTTGGTCCGTCCCTGAGTGTTTGTCCACTTTTGACTTTTGGAACTGTTCATCTAAGCAATTTGACTCATCAAATTCTCTCAATGTGTAAGCCTAAAAATAGTCATGTGTGATCTTGTTTGATTCGTCTTAACATATAGATTATTAATATATAATTTTTATAATTTTTTAATATACAAATTACAAGATAAAATAGATTAAAGAAGTGCATTGAATGGTGTGCAAAAATGAAAGTGGACAAACACTCAGGGACGGAGGGAGTATATCTTTTGATGTAATTTTTTATATATCTAATTTTTATTTTTTTATACTACGCCATTTTTCATTTAAATTGATTTGAAAATAACTTGAGTCAAACATCGTAAACCAAAATAAACGATTAAATCGGAACGGAGGAAGTATATATTTATAGATATTGTATTGTAATAGAGTCAATAACACTAAAAAATGTCATAAATTAAATCAGATTTTCAAGCACACAAAATTGTATTGTATTTTGAGGAATTAAAAGCTCAAAAGTTCTCCAACACAACAATAGTTTTCCATTCATAAATTATCCAAATGCAACTTAAATAAGAGTAATTCAACAGATTTTGTAGTAATATAAAACAAAGACACTCTTACTAATCATCTTTATATTTTGAGTTTTTCGACCTTGGACTTATCAATGTAACAACATTTACTACAATAAGAAAAACACTAATGTGCTTTGGAGAGCATTTTTGGCTTTTGAGTATAGAAGTTAGTCTCTATTCAGATAATGAACCCACAAAACAAGAATTTAAGAATTGCACAAAGGGAATCCAACAGAACAGTCATAGGAAGCAAATCAAATACTCCCTCCGTCCTAAAAAGTCTTTCCTGTTTCATTTTTTGCGCATCCTATAAAACACTTCTATCTCGTCTTGAATGCCAAAAAAAATTTCAAAATAACTTCTACCCACAATAAAGAAATTTTGTAAATTTTAGGCATTTTAGATATCGTTAGAAGTGTTTTATGGGATACGCAAAAAATGAAACAGAAAAGACTTTTTGGGACGATGGAGTAACAAATATGAGGGACAAAAATTTTATATTAAAAAAAATCTGATATATAAATTTATTTATCGAAAGTTGAATCCAAAATGAAGCTTCCCACTATTCAATGTATTATTTATGACACCGAAGATGTTCAATCTTTATACTAATCTTGAGGGTATTATAGCAGAGTTTTTTTAAAACGAGTAAATGTTGGATAGAATTCAATTTTGTCAAAAAAAAAAAAAAAAAAACTATTTTGTTTTTGTATTCATAACATAAAAAAGAGTAACCTTAGTTAATCGATTGTACGATGCGTTTTGATGTTTTGGCGTCAAACGAAAAACAAAAGACAGTTTGCCCGAGTGGTCTAAGGCGCCAGATTTAGGCTCTGGTCCGAAAGGGCGTGGGTTCAAATCCCACAGCTGTCAGTTTTTTTTTGTCTATTTTTCATTTATGCATTCTATTTTAGTTTTTGGGTCTCTTAGGCTCTGTTCCGTTCAACTTCTTTTTTCTGATCTGATTGATCTGATTGGATCTGATCTGGTCTGATCTGATTAATTATGATTTTTTGTAGGTTTGATCTGATTGGATCTGATCTGATTGGATTTGATCTAATCTGATCTGATCTAATTAATTATGATTTGATTTAAAATTCAAATCAATAATTTGATTTGACTTTATAATAACGTTTGAAAATTGTAATGATAATTCATATTATAATATAATCAATGTTTTGTAATTTATGATTATTTTTTAATAATATAAAATTAGTTAATTCATATATTAGAATCATCATTCATATTATAATGTAATAAAAAATTTTATTTTATGATTATTTTTTTGTGAAATTAGAATATTAATTTAATATTTTAATAATTACTTCATATATACATTAGAATAAATATTTAATTTATGTATACATTAAAAAGTAATTAAATTTAGATAATCATAATATAGAAGAGATTGTATTTTTATTAAAATATCTCATCCTTATAAAAGATCAAAACTTTAGAAACTCAAATTACAAGTAGCAATAAAAATATGTTTTAAAAGTAGAATTAGATTGCCATTGTTTATGTATTTTAAAAATAATTTTTACAGCGTCTAATAATTAAGAATTACTTTCTCATTTTTCTATTTAACTTGTTTCTAAAGTTTATTATTTTTCATTTTTAAGAATAATAATAATAATAATAATACTAATAATAATAATAATAATTCTTGATGGGATCTGATCTGGTCTGATCTGATTGAATCTGATCAGATCAGATCTGATAGGATCTGATCTGATCAGATCTGATTGGATCTGGTCTAACGAATCTGATTCGATCTGATCTGATCTGATTCGATCTGATCTGATCTGATTCGATCTGATCTGATCTGGGCTGATCTAATCTGATTTTAATAAGAATAAGAAAAAATAAGAAAAAATAAGTTGAACGGAACGGGGCCTTAGTAACCAATGTTGCCTGGCCCAAAATCTGGATTGTTTTCTCCTTTTTATTTATTGAGTCTTAGGCCATGTTTTTTATGTAATTTGGATGATTTAATTGGAATAAGTTTTGATATGATATAAATCTATTTATATTTAAGATTATTTTTTATTTGATCTGATTTTGTCTAATTCTAATAAGTAATAAGAATAAGTTAGAGAAAACATGGCTAAAGTGCCTATTATTTTCCTTTTTGCTCACTTTTTCTTTCTCCCTACTAGAATCAAACTCATGCATTGCACGACCATTATTTTTAAAATGAAATCATTTAATTGTAATAACATTGAAAAATGATACAATAGATATGCCATACAATCACTTAAAAATACCATTTTTGTAAATGATTTTTTTCAGAATAATGATTAATTAATACGTCGTACCTTGTGGTTTGTAAAATACTACAATCTTTAATACCAAGTCAAGTAACCGATTCAACCAAAAACTCAACCTTGTAGTTGTAGGCTCTGGGAAGTTTTCTTATACTCTAATATAAGGGGGGTGTATTCAATTGAGATTGTGAGTTTGTGAGTTTCTTACTCCCATTCTAAAAAGTTTGTGAGTTTAGAAAATCTACAGAGTCTATGTAGAGTTTAGGGCTGTAAATGGATAACCGGAAATTTGATTACCTTCCGCATCCGTATCCGTTCATATGGAAAATATCCGCATCCGTTAAAAGCGGTTATTATCCGTATCCGATTAATGATATCTGATTGCTAAACGGATACGGATTTGGTAATCACACATCCGATCCATTTATAATCCGCTCCGCATTGACATCCGTTTAAATAATCGTTTATCCGTGTATCCGATCCGTTATATATAGTTTTTCCTAATTTTTTATTTTTATATTTTGTTTCTCTATTCATATCTTAAAGTATAAGATATTTATATATGCAAAATATATGTGTAGACACAAAAAAATATGTGTAGACATATAAAAATATGTGTATATATCTACTGTGTATATCTTTTTATGATATGAAATCATCGTAGAATATCATAAACTATAAAAAGTAAGAAAATAATTATCCCATAAAAAAATTATAGTTGATTTAATAATATTTTGATTTTGTTTAATTGAAAATTAAAGTATTGTTTGATTTGGTCTAAAAAATTGGAAAGGGATACGGATATATCCGATATCCGACTGATATCCGACGGATGCGGATACGGTTTTGATTTTCAGTATCCGTCAAGATCCGTATCCGAATTCGATATTCGACAAAAATAAATGGATACGGATTTGGTAAAGGCACATCCGATCCGATTAAAATCCGTTTATAACCCTAGTAGAGTTTGTCCCATTTTTCTATTGATTTACATGGACTTCAAAGATTCCATGAATTTCTATTGGGCCTTGGCAGGTGCTGGGTTTTCCACACACTTGAGGTTGAGAGCGGCGGGCTAACACCACTTCCACAGCGCAGCACTCCGTCCTCTCTCTGCGCCCTCAACTTGAGAAGCAACAACCAACAACTTCACCACTGGCGGCGGCAACAACCCAATCCGGTGAAGGTAGCAGCAACTCAGCCCATCCCCAACTCGGCGCTAGATTTCTCCTCCCCGACATGACCGCCACTCCATCCAAACTCCAAAGATAGTGGCACTTCAGACGTTTTACTGGTTGTCCCACCTCCAACCGGCAGAAATTGCTTCATGACAACCAGATGATTGGAGGACTTGAGGAGACGAGGCAGATCTACACGGCCAGGGTGGTGATGGGTTTTGTGTAGATTTGTAGACTGTGGTCTACACCAAAGCAATTGTGATGGAGATCGGTGGAGGACTGGAGAAAGAGTACGGTTTGGTGTCCTGGAGAAAGAGTACATGGTGGAGAAAGAGCACGACCAAGGTACACATGGTGGAGAAAGACTACATGATGGAGAAAGAGTACGCCCAGGGTGGTGATGGGTTTGGTATAGACCGTAGTCTACAAAATTGCTTTGTCCAAGTCCATGGAAATCTGAAGTTCTAAGAAGGGATTTGAGATAAGCATTACCTTGGGAGACAATCCAACAAAATCTATGGAATATTAAAATTCATTGACTTTTGAATACCTAAAGATTTTTTAAGACTTTTTAAAATATTTAGTGAACACCTTAGGATTTTTAAAGATTTTTGGAAATCAAGATTGAATACCCTCAGATTTTGAAAGTCCAAAAAAAATCATGCAAACTCTTAATTGAATACACCCCCTAAAAAATAGTGGAGTGTTTGAAAAAAGAATTTAATGATAATAACAAAAAGTAATTAATGATAAATGTAAAACATATTAATCACTCCATCCATCCTAAAATGATCTTCCTAGTTCAGTTTACGAGGTTTGACTGATATAATTTTCAATTCAATTTATTTGATTATAGCCTTATAGGTGTAAAACTAAAAAATAAAAATTATATATTTTAAACATCAGAAGTTCTATAAATTAAAAGGTGACACGACTACATTATTTTATCAAATAACTAACAAAAATAAGTAAAGAAGGTGATTAAAGTTTGACCATGTGAATATTGATTGAGAAGATTGGACGGAGGGAGTATATACTTGGTATTATCAAATTACTAGTATTTTAACTCGTACAACCCACGGGGTTGGACGAAATTTTTGACACTTTTGTAAATTATCTTCAATGCAATTCTTTGTATGTTCAACGTTCATCAAACACTCCTCCTCTCCTGTTATGTGCTGGCTTGCTCCACTATCTATAATCCATGAAGTGATATAATTACTTGAGAATTTATTTTCAAGAGGCATTTCTTTTTCTTTCAGCATTCCCATTACAGCCTCCCATTTTTCATAGGTAAAGGATTCTCGTTCACCGCTTGAGTCTGTCGCCTTCTCTGTGAAGACCGCCGGTCGCCCTTATACATCGCCGCTGCCATTGGTACAACAGTCAAGCCGTGCTGCTGCCACGACCACCTCGACCCGTGCCGCTGCCACGACCACCTCGACCCGTCGCACCTCCTCTTCCTCCTAATTACCAGCCACGACCTCCACCACTACGGCCTCCGCCTCGGTTCTGTACTCGAGGGCAATCGCCCCACCATTCAGGATATCCCAAAAGCTGAAAACACCCGCTAATCTCGTGACAAGTCATCCCACAGTGTTTGCACTTTAGTTCTTTATTGGCATCCCAATGTGTCACTGCAAAATTCACTAGATTTTTCTCATTTTCATAAGTGACTTTTAAAACACCTTCTTATTGTATGATTGTAGAGTAAACCCGATTGAGAGGGTACAGAGGCTCTACGGCCAAAATATTCACTCTCAATCCTTTATATCCTTCATTATCCAACACCATTAAAAATGACGAACTTTCTCATTTTCCTTCTACTGCTCAATAATCTCGGTGATCCTGCACTTGCAACCAAGAGACTTACATACTGGTGTCTTCTTAATGTTATTCAATTCATCCCATATACTTTTAAATTTAGAAAAATATGAGACGATTGATTGTCCGTGCTGCTCACAATTTTCCAGTTCATTCTTCAGTTGATTGACTCGTGTTCCATTAGGGACCGAAAATCAGTCCTTGATGTCCTTCCACAGTTTGGCCGCCTCGTCCACCTGAGTGATGGAATTTCGTAGAGAGTGGTCAATTGTTTTGAAGATCCATGACACCAGCATGGAGTTCATGATCCACCATTGTTTGCACTCGTCTTTGTCTGCTTCATGTTGAGATATGGATCCATCAGTGAGTCCTAATTTTCTTTTAGCACGGAGAGCAATTCACACAGCCCGTGCCCATTCTTCATAATTGCCACCAGTCAATTTTATCTGAGTGGTGATTTTTGCATGTGTGTCTGCATATTTCAATTCGTAAGGGCTGACCTTGGTGAATTGTTTCTCGTTGTTCTCCATTTTGGAGAATGGGTTTTCCTCCTTCTCGTCGGCCATATTCCGGCCATAAGACGAGGAGTGACGAATTGACGGAGTGAAGCAAAAGATCAGAGAAGATGAAGAACCAGTCGGAGAAGATTAAGAACAAGGTCTGCTTGCCCGCTGAAGAGGAGAAGATCGAGGAGTCGGTAAAATCATTTGATTTTACGTGAGATTTGTAAGTTGGTTTTTTTTATTTATACTCAAGACAAATAATCTGTCAAAATCTATGTGTTATTAAAATCTTAGAAATCTATAAGTTTTTATAACCATCAGATTTAGAACAAGTTTTTGAAATTTGAATTGAACACATCTAGATTTTAGATGATTTTTTAAAATTTCAGCTGAATGCTCACTGACTTTTAAAATCTTAAAAGATCTATCAAAATCCTTATTGAATACTCTCTTTTAATACTCCCTCCGTCCCTAAAAGATGACCATAGTTTGCCTTTTTTGGTCAAACTGTGACATCTTTTGACTACAAATCAAATATAGTTTAAAATAATTAAATATTAGAGTATAAAAATTTGATATTTCAAAACTATATCTTAAAATAAACACAATTTTACTAAATTCCTATATTTACTGTATTTGAAATTTGAGTTTGATGTATGTCGAAACACCTTGGTTCCCATGACATTGAGATTCAATGTCATGGGATGACTCGATGTTTATAAGATATTCCGTTCGAAAAATTGATGGTTACTACAACCTAACCTTCCCGGTAAAACCCCACCCCGATCCGAGCATATCTCGTACCCCGTATGTCACAAGATTTAGTTGACTTTGAAATAAAAATTTAACTCCAAAGTCAGCTAAATTTCGTAGAATACAATTGTATACTACGGAGTATGTCATAAAATCTTGTGGAATGAAATTGATGACATGACACCAGCCCCCATGTCAAAAATGTGGGATTGTTTTGTTGGACCCGCCGACCCGGTCTAGTTTGAAGGACATACTTTCACCAGGCCTAAACTCCCTAAAGTGAGGGCCAAAGTGAGTTTCGAATCTGCCTGCACATATCCTGAATGTGATAGCCCATCAAGTTGCCTCATACTCGCTCAACAAGCAACAATGACGAAGGTGTATGGAACCGGAGTTTATGATTTCCGGCGACATAGAGTGGCGGAATACCCCGTGGATGGGCTGCCACAGCAGCCAGCTGTGGCGGATATCCCCGAGAAGCCGCCTGAGTCAAAACCCCTTTCAAATGTTCCCAGTTCCATAACCCTCAGCGAGATCCAACGCGACCGCCTCACCAAAATTGCAGCTGCAAATTGGTCGAATACAGCCGCACCTGCAGCGAAGAAGCCTTTCGATGCTAACTTAGTGAATGAAATATACTATACTGAGCTCACAGTAAAAGGTAAAACCTAATTATGCACGTATTATACCTTTTTTTTTACCTCTTATTGTATGCCCTTGTGGTTTGGCGCATCAAATTTGTTCTAACATTGACCTTTTCTTGTTACTTTTATCAGTTTTTGTCTATGCTAATGGCAAAGAAGTTTGATATGAAAACGGAAGTATAATTCATACAACTCTCACTTCTTTTTTTTGTTCTAAATATCTTGAAGAATTCTCAAACAGTTAAACATAATATATATGAGCTTACGCAAGCTTAAATGATAAAAGTCTAGTAGGGGTTTGATTCTTCTCTTGTCTGTTCACTTGACTATACACAACATGTGTTTGATTTTATGCTAATCACTTTGTTAAACCTAGGGGGTAGAAAACCTGTTCCATTGCAGAGGGTGATGATCTTGGAAGTGAGCCAGTACCTGGAGAATTATCTGTGGCCAAATTTTGATCCAGAGAATTCTACGTTTGAGCATGTCATGTCAATGATACTCATGGTCAATGAGAAGGTATGCTGGTTTACATATATGTCGTATGGACTCCATCCATCAATTATGTCATAAACTCATAATATAGTCAAAATAGCTGGTTTAGATTTCTTAGACAAGTAGTTAGTCAAAATTACTTTTTCTACATGCTAATGGGTACAAATGATGCACTTTTGCAGTTCCGGGAAAATGTCGCTGCTTGGTTATGTTTTCACGATAAACAAGAAATGTTCAATGCATTTCTTGATAGGGTCATTTCTCTAAAGGAGGTATGGTTTTCTCTTTTATACTGAGCGCTCAAACATTCTCTAAGATCTGGAACATGACAATTTTTGTAAATTAGTTGATACCCATAATGCTTTTGAGTTTTGACTTTCTAGGATTTCATTTTCGATATGGCACGCCCAGTCTTTAGTTTCTTATACTCCGTACGACTGTTATCTATTTATTTTTTATTTCTATTGTACTCTTAGTCTTATTACTTTACAAGCTGCTTGACATATTGAGAAAAAAAATCAGAAACGTGAAGACTTTGTATGTTTAGAAATATTTTTAAAACATGAGTTCTCCCACTTTCCTTCTAAACCCTGCAACCCACCTCCTGTCATCAACAACAAACCCAGTGCAATCCTAAAGGTGGGCTCTCAAGAATGTAGGATGTATGCAGAATTGCCAACCAGCCAGACCTTATCTCCACCCGTGTGGGGGTTGAGAGGTTGTTTTCAATAGACAGTTAGGCACTCAAGAACAGAAGCCCTAGAAGCAATTTGGATGTTGTAACTTTCCTTCCGTCCCTAAAAGAATGTCACTCACTTTGCACTATTCCAATATCACGGTAACTTTTGTTTATTTGCGCGTTTTCATTGATTATTTGATAAAATAAAATATTCTTGTCACATCTAGTTATGTAGAATTTTTTTATGTAGTTTCTAAATATACACAACAACAACATCCCAGTTGGATTTCACGAAAGTTGGGTTTTTAAATATGCAAGTTTTATTTTTTAATTTCTACACCAATCTTTAAATAAAATGAATTGAAAACACCTAAGGCGCAAAGTGACATTCTTTTAGGGACAGAGGGAGTATAAGCTACCTGCTCCAACTAGGGGTGGGTGTGAATCTTTTTCTTGTTGATCCGTTCCGGAACATTCCGGTATCATTTCGAAATTGTTTTGTTTTATTTGGGATATAGTATTTTCATCCCTAACATGTCCTGTTCTGGTAATAACAGAACAGTAACAAGACATGGGAAATATGGCATGTTCCGTCCTGTTTGTCCGAAGTATAATATATACTATGTACGGAGTATATACTCTTTACTACTAAAGACCCAGTATTCTTCTAGTTTTCTACTCTTTTTTTTGTTTCGGTTTTTAGGCTTTCAGCCCAAACTTTAAACCTTAATTATTAACTTATTCTAGATTCCACGCCTCCACACTAAGTCACTAACCAACCCTTCTGAAGTTTTCAACCGTTTGTGAGGGGTGCTACGAGCGAGCCTGTGAGTGTTACTGGTTGTGTACGGGTAGAAGGTGTGCGAACAATGGTCTAGGGCTAGGTTGGGGTTAAGGTGGGGGGGGGGGAACTTACCTGGTCTCACTGAACGGTCGCTGACCCTCGTTGGAGCTTACTGTGAAGATACCACCGATTGAGGTTACTTGAGCTGCCGGCTGACTGGCTGAGAGAAGTCGCCGACAATAGTCAAAAATCAAGAAAGAATAGAGAGAGCATTTTCAAGAAGAGAGAATCATGGAGTCATGAGTATCATTATCATGTTAATGGACTAAAGTAAGGAATGGTTGAAGTGTTAAACACTAATTTAGAACTATGGAGTCCATGTCGATTTAAGATAAATTGAAACAAAACTAAGATGAGCAATTGAAAAAGATGTTTCAAGAAGGTTGTTAAATTCAAGATCATAGCTAGGATCAAGAGGGGTTGCTAAATCGTAAATGAGTATGAAGAATGCGTAAATTTAACCATTGCAACTTTTATAAAATGATGGAAGTATGAAATGTTTGGCTTTAAATGCAGCAATACATTTAGGGTCTAACGGAAAGAGTCTTTTTCTTTATTGGGTTAAGTTGCATACATCTTGACCTCCGAGACGCTGATGGAGCTGGGATTATTATGGGTTTCTTGTTGTAGATTCCATTTATGTGCAATGTGTGAAATAAAAAGTAATTGAAGTTGTGATTGGAAATGTCTAGCCCACCAATGTTTATGACTAATTAAGGCAATAAGGCCTTGCATAATGTTTGTAATTTATTTAACTTAATTTTTTTATTTTGGAATTTGAAATATATAGATTCTCCTTTTTCTTGTATAAATGTTACTATAAGACGGTTGTGCTTGGACCGAGCCTTGGTCATTACATTTTTTAATTGAGCAGGTTTAGACAAAATGCTATACCTGGTTTATCCGGTCAGGCTGTAGTAGAGCAATTCTTATTAACTATTGGTGTATAGCAAGACCTAGCCCATGTGCACATCTGGTAATGGGTAATGAAGAAAGACTTGACAAATAAAATAAACATAGCAAAGAGATACGTATTTTACGATGTAATGTTGTTAAACTAGAAATGATTGAGTAATGAGTACAAAAGGAAATGCACGGTAAAATGGTTGTATTTGCTATTAAAGTTAAGGGAAGATCAATTCCATTGGTCTGGACACATCAGTTGTTGAAAAGTGGACGTCTTGCGAGGAAGAGTGGACTCCTGGTCCTCTTGGAGTCTGGGAGGCTTAATAAGATGTCAGGGTGGATCAAAAGTGACTTGGATTAAAGGTTTAAAAAGGGAAATTAGAGTGTTGCATTGTTGGGGCTTGATGAGCATATGTTGCATGGCAAAAAAGATCAAAAGAAAAAAGATTTTAGTGGATGAGCTTTGTAGATTTTCTAGGGTTCATAGAGCCAATCCAACTAATTTGAGATTAAGGCTTAGCTTTTGTTATGTTTTTTATTTTCTCACTTCTGTAGATGTCACCTGATACACCCATTTTTGAATCTCCTGCACAATTGTCCTTCATAAGTTTATAGTGTCATAGTGTGATTATAAGACTATATCAGATTTGGTGCTTGTATTTGCTTTGTTCTCCAGTTTTTGTTAGACACAAAATTTTGCTCATTGATCATGGATTTGTGTGCAGGGAAGAAGCTTAAGTATTGCCGAGAAGACCAACTATCTACTTTTCATGATTAATGCTTTCCAGGTGCCAAAATATGTTCTTAAGCTTCTAGATCTCTTGTTGGGCATTTTCTTTGACAAGAAAATGACTCAGTGCGCTCTGTACACACTTTATTTTAGATGCTAATGCACACAGTTGTGGTTAATGTTGGTTGACATTAATGATTTCAAATGTTTCTTCACCACATCTCATTGTTAGAGTGATGCATATCTTTACATTATGATATAATAATGGACCTACATAATAAGTTGAAGGTTTATTCACATCTCATTTTTAGAGTGATGCTTCTTTGCATAAGCATATAATGCCCTGCATAATGGGTTAAACCTAGGGCTGCACTTTAATTTCTTTACATTGACACCCTTGCACTCTCCTTATTCTTATGGTGCTTGTATCTAGACTAGTACTGTTTGTTCTCTTTTTTTCCTAATTGCATTGGCCCATTTTGTGCAATATTTTGCAGAGTTTAGAAGATGGGATAGTAAACACGAAGATTCTAAGATTAGCACATCTTCAGTGTTGGCATTCTTTATCATACGGTCGATTTCAAGTGAGTTTAATGTGTTCGACCATCTATTTGTTTAAACCTCATTCATACAATCTTAACTTATTCAGTTTGCTTTTATTCGAGTATAGATGGAACTCTGTATGAATCCAGATCTGTTTAAAAAATGGAAAAAGATTGTAAAAAGAGCCAAGGATGCAGCTAAAAAGGGAGAATCTTTCGACCCCTCATCTAAGATTGAAGCAATATTCTTGAGGAACCTGATCAACGAGTTTATTGAGGTCTTGGTCAATGGATTTAATTTGTTTGTTAATCTTCTTCAATTCGTCGAACCTTCTTGAGAAATGTCTTGTTTCGGTCTCTCCCTCCTTTATCAGGTGCTTAATTCTGGGGTTTTCCCTAGCAGGGAGAACAATGCGAAAGATAATAGATTTGTTGATGCGAGTGGTTTCGGAAAAGTTGATGATGCTTGTGTCTTATACTGTGAAAGGTTTATGGAGTTCCTCATCGATCTCCTTAGCCAACTACCAACAAGAAGGTTATTTGTGATGCTGATTGATTTTTATATTCCCATTTATGGCAAACTATCTCGGCCTGTTTTGGTGAACTTGTTCAAACTGCACTATGTCATTATGACTTTTTTTTACTGATTACACTCTATGCACAGATATGTAAGAGCTCTTGTTGCTGATGTAGCTGTCATTGCTAAATGTCATTTAAGTGCCTTGTATAAACACGAGAAAGGAAAACTTTTTGGACAGCTTGTAGACTTACTTCAGTTTTACGAGACATTTGCAATTGATGACCATTCGGGGACACAAATGACTGATGATGAGGTTCTTCTGGCTCATTATCATCGCTTCGAGTCATTCCAGCTTCTAGCATTTAAAAGGGTTCCGAAGGTCACTTTGCTCATATGTTTCTTTGGCTAGCTGTTTTAAAATATCATTTCACTACATATTTATTGATAATCTAGTCGAATATATGTAGGTACATCTCAATTCTTAACTAGCATTTTTTCTTTGCAGTTGCGGGAACTTGCCCTAGCCAATATTGGTGCAATAAACAAGCGTGCCGATCTCTCAAAGAAACTCTCAGTACTCTGTCCTGAAGAATTGAGAGATTTGGTTTGTCATAAGGTGCGTGAAATTGCTAGGTAGCTATTTTGTAGTATCATTTAGGCTAACTTATTCAAAATGTGATTATTGCGCTATTCATCTATACCTTTGAACCTTTTGATAGATCAGAGGTTTTGTTGGATAGTGTGCTAGTTCATTCCTGTGAATTCCCTATATCTTGAAACTAGCAGTTATGCGTAAAATTTGTGTGAAAGAACCCAACATTAGCAAATTCATGAGGATTCCTGATTCCAGGGATTGAAGGCATCATATGCATCCACCATATGGCATGTTTCGTGCAATTCCTAGGATTTAGTTAAATTCCTGTCATTCCATACACAATTTCATCTCATTCTCAGTAATTATTTTCAACTATTACAAATCAACTTACTTTATGCAGATGTTGGTTTTCTTAATTGGTAGACCATATTTCTTTTTTTGCATGTCTTTACCATTTCTGAAATGATATATTTTTGTGATTGCAGCTTAAATTGATATCGAAGGATGATCCATGGTCAGAAAGGGTTGATTTTTTGATTGAAGTCATGGTTTCATTTTTTGAAAGGCAACAATCTCAAAAGGAGGCCATAAATGCTCTTCCTCTCTACCCGAATGAGCAGATAATGTGGGATGAGAGTCTTGTCCCCAGCATTAACTACACAGGAGAAGGGTGTCTTGCACTGCCAAAACTTAATCTACAGTTTTTGACCCTTCACGATTATCTTCTTAGGAATTTTAATCTTTTTCGCCTTGAATCAACTTATGAAATTCGTGAAGATATTCAGGAAGCTATACCACACCTCCTTGCTTATATTAATAATGAAGGAGAAACTGCATTTCGCGGTTGGTCTCGCATGGCTGTTCCAGTTAAAGAGTTCAAGATTTCGGAAGTAAAACAGCCAAATGTTGGGGAAGTTAAGCCGGCTTCTGTGACTGCAGAAGTCACTTTCAGCATTGCCAGTTATAAAGCTCAAATAAGATCAGAATGGAATTCACTTAAGGAACATGATGTTCTCTTTCTCTTGTCGATTCGTCCTTCATTTGAGCCCCTTAGTGCAGAAGAAGCTGCTAACGCAACTGTACCACAGAGGCTCGGCCTTCAATATGTTCGAGGATGTGAAATTATAGAGATGCGTGATGAAGAGGGGACTTTGATGAATGATTTTACAGGGAGAATCAAGCGAGATGAGTGGAAACCTCCTAAAGGAGATCTTAGAACTGTTACTCTAGCACTTGACACCGCACAATATCATATGGATGTTAGTGATATTGCAGAAAAAGGGGCTGAGGATATTTACAGTACATTTAACATCTTAATGAGAAGGAAGCCAAAGGAAAACAATTTCAAAGCTATTTTAGAATCAATAAGAGATCTCATGAACGAAACTTGTATCGTTCCTGATTGGTTGCATGACATATTTTTGGGCTACGGAAATCCTTCTGCTGCACAGTGGACTTGTATGCCTGAACTTCTTGAAGAAGTTGATTTCAAAGATACCTTTCTTGATGCAGATCATGTTCGGGAATGTTTTTCAGATTACCAGGTTGAATAGTCTTTCTTTGGTGTTGTATTATACTCCCTCCATCCTGAACTAATCTTTCTTGTTTTGACTTGATACACTCATTAAGAAGTGTGATTGAAAATGAAGTTGTGGTTGAGATTTAAGAAAAAAAGGAGTGAAACAATATTAGCCACAGTGCCACACATTTCATTCCTAGAAGAAAACAAGTAGACGCTCTTGGGATGAACCAAAGAAGAAAAATAAAAATTATTTCACGAGGGAATAGATATGTTTAACTTCGCTTTGAATGCAATGTTCTTATAGATAGTGTTACTTTGTCTTGTTTATAGGTTTCCTTTATACATTCGGATGGCTCAGAGAATTTGCAGCCTAGCCCTCCTTTCCGAATTAAACTTCCCAGAAACCTCAAAGGAAATCCACATGCTGTTCCTGGGAATTTGAAGTCTATAGTAGCCTCTGTGAAGGCTGCGGGCATGGAAGGTGTTCATTCGGAAAAGGAAGAACTTATAGTTGAGGCTTATATCCCCCCTGATCCAGGTCCATATCCCCAGGACCAGCCAAAACAGAACTCAGTCAGATTTACCCCGACTCAGGTACCTGCTAAACTTAAACAAGCTCTTTGGGGATATTCATTTTGCTTTTTGTAGCTTCTGATTTGACATGTGGGTTCAAGTATGAGCTTGATTTCTTTTTCTTTTCCTTATGTAGATTGGAGCAATCATTTCAGGCATTCAGCCAGGATTGACTATGGTTGTGGGTCCACCTGGTACGGGAAAGACAGATACAGCTGTACAGATTTTGAATGTATTATATCATAATTGCCCGTCTCAGAGGACACTGATTATAACTCATTCAAATCAGGCTCTAAATGATCTTTTTGAGAAAATCATGGAGGTATATTGCACATTGAGTATTTATAACCTGTCATGTTTTACCCAAAGGATAAAGTTCATTTTTAGTTCCTCAGTTATGATACTCTAGCAGTTTTAGTTTGTTTTCAACTTTTGCAAAAATCGGCCATGGTTGTACTCTGTGGCAATTTTAGTCATTTCCCCCACCAGGCCTGTTAACGGGGGACTAGAATGGGTATGACTGAAGGACTAAAACCACCAATAAAGGGTACAACCAGAGACAATTTTTGTAAATTTAACAATGGGCTAAAGTTGATCAAATGTGGGGCTAAAAATCTCTGATATCTTGTTCATGGTTTTCAATGGAGTTTGGGGCAGTGCACTTTGAGGTGGTGAGGCTTAAAGGCATTGAGTTTAAGCCTCAAATGCTTAAGCCTCTGACTCTATCAGGAATTTATGAATGTAACTGGTCATTTATGAAAAGCTATTGGGCCTGGACGTTTATACTACGGAGTATTTATTTTGCTTTATTTTTGGCCTTTCTAACAACTAAATAGTAAATATAAACCTAGACTTGTACAATCTCAAATTTGAAGGTCAAGATGTACATAGTTTTACCCCTTAAATAACAGAGAGACGGTTTCCATTAGACTCTAGATGCATTGGTGCATTTACTACCCAAAACTTCACAAAATGTAAGGTGCAAGAGAAGTTTAATGTTACACTCTGATAGGGCATTATGTGCCTGAAACTAAAGCATTGTCAATAATGTCATTTTTAGCTCCATTGGCAATGGATTGAATAAACCTATATTTATATTGATATAAACCTAGGAGCCAATTTAAAAAGCCATACCCCTCTTTCTTTTTTTTTCTCTCTCTCTCTCTCTCTCTAGTAAATATAAACCTAGATTTATTTGATAGTACACATTGCATATTTTATCTTTACCTACGGAGTATATGCTATCTTTACCTTTATAACTTTTATCAGACATAATTATGAATCTTGCATTTTATTCATTATGTTTAATTAAATTGAGGCTAATGCCTCGTTACAGCTCGAGGCTTACACCTCATGTCATAGAGTCCCATCACCTCGAGGGCCAATTTCTTGATTCGAAACCTGGCACTTGTTGGGCACATATCCGAAATGATCCCCCCCACCCCCACCCCATCCAAAAAAAAATGCAGGTTCTTTTGATTTGCTCACCATTATGAGTGCATATAGTAATATAACATTATTATTATGACTATGGTCACAGAGGGATGTACCAGCTCGCTATCTTCTACGTCTTGGTCAAGGAGAGCAAGAACTAGCAACTGATCTTGATTTCAGCCGACAAGGTCGTGTTAATGCAATGCTTGTTCGGCGACTAGAATTACTAAGAGAGGTAGAGAGGCTAGCCAGGTCTCTACAATTGCCCGAGGATGTTGGTTATACTTGTGAAACTGCAGGGTACTTTTGGCTGCTTCACGTGTACTCACGCTGGGAACAATTTTTAGCTGCGTCTGCTGAGAACCATCACAAACCCACATTTGTCCGGGACAGGTTTCCTTTTAAGGAATTCTTTTCTAATGCCCAACAGCCACTCTTTACAGGCGAGTCTTTCGATAGAGACATGCGCGTTGCTAAGGGGTGCTTTCGTCATATGAAAACTATGTTCCAAGAGCTTGAAGAATGTAGGGCATTTGAGTTGCTTAAGTCAACTGTTGACAGATCAAATTACCTGATGACCAAACAGGCAAAAATCGTGGCAATGACTTGCACCCATGCAGCTCTTAAAAGAAAGGATTTTCTTCAGTTGGGATTTAAGTATGACAATTTGTTAATGGAAGAAAGTGCCCAGATATTAGAGATTGAAACATTCATCCCCATGTTGCTTCAAAGGCAGGAAGATGGCTATGCTCGTCTTAAACGCTGTATATTGATTGGTGACCACCACCAGCTTCCCCCTGTTGTGAAAAATATGGCTTTTCAAAAGTACAGCCATATGGATCAGAGTCTATTCACAAGATTTGTTCGTTTAGGGATTCCTTATATTGAGCTTAATGCTCAAGGTAGAGCAAGGGCAAGTTTGGCCAAACTTTACAACTGGAGGTACCGTCACCTCGGTGATCTTCCTAACGTAAAAGAGAGTAGCTTCTTTCACAAAGCAAATTCTGGATTTTCCTATGACTATCAGTTAATTGACGTGCCTGATCACCATGGGAGAGGAGAAACTGCGCCTTCTCCTTGGTTTTATCAAAATGAGGGTGAAGCCGAATATTTAGTTAGTGTGTATATATACATGCGCTTACTTGGGTACCCTGCGAATAAGATATCCATTTTAACAACATACAATGGTCAGAAACTTTTGATTCGTGATGTTATAAATAGACGATGTGTTCCTTATGACTTCATTGGTCCACCAAACAAGGTACATTTCACTCCATGATATCTATAATACAAACTTCTTTACCCCCACTCAAAATAGAAAAGAAATTTAAAGTGTAGCAGTATTGTGTAGCAATATTGAGTTTGGATTCAATATTTTTTCTTGTTTGTTATTATTTCTGTTTTTTATTTTGAGTTATTATTGCTCTTTATGAGCTTTTTATTATGTAGTAAAATTGAGTTATTATTGCTCTTTATGAGCGTTTTTGCATTGCGCTTTTACTTCTTGGCTATATAGATAACTTAACTTCAGTGCTTTTCTGTTAGGTTTTTGTTGTGGTGTGCGTGTGTAATAGTTATCATCATTTTTCGGGTGTAGGTTACAACAGTTGACAAATTCCAAGGGCAACAAAATGATTTCATCTTATTGTCTCTTGTACGAACACGGTTCGTGGGCCATCTTCGGGACGTTAGAAGGTTGGTTGTAGCAATGTCTCGTGCTCGTTTGGGGCTCTATGTTTTTTGCCGACGGTCTCTTTTCGAACAATGCTATGAACTGCAACCTACATTTCAACTTCTGCTACAAAGGCCTGACTGCCTTGCTTTAAATCTACACGAGATGTCGTCATTAACAGACCGCTGTGTTGATGATACTGGAATAACCCATCTTGTTAGTGGCATTGATGAAATGGCAAATATTGTGAATTATAGGATGCATATGATTTATCAGGTATCTCTTTGGACCATGGCTGTAAAAGAAATGTTACACCTAGTTGGGGATTAATTGGTGTTAGGTAGAATCTAATGGTTTGTTACCTTTGTTTGGATGGAGGGTCTTGGATTTTAAGATTCGATAGAGAGTTTTGGAGAGGTGGTTGGAAGGTATAGTATATACTACTCCGTATCTTGATAATATAGAAAGTTTTTAAAATGGATAAGAGGTTATTGAAATTTTATATGGTCACTTGTTTAAATATTTCAAATTTGATAAAATCTCAAATATAAAGTACTAAGATTTATACCAAGTCCTCCAAATCCCTCCATCCAAACCGATACCATGTAGAATTAGGTAGTCAAAGTGCTAAAAAGATCTAGGAGTAGGTTGACAATTTTACAACAATACGTGTGATAGAGGGCGTAAGGGCTTGTTCTCTTCACCTTATTTGATTGCTTTTGGTCTGATTCGAATTAGCTTTGATCTGGTCTGATCTGATTGTGGTTATATTTAAAGCTGTTTTTGATCTGATTTGATTTGAATAAGAATAAGTTGAAGAGAACAAGTTCCAAGTGTAGTCACAGGAACTACGGATTATGGAAGTGAAGTGTTAGACTCTATAAGTGAAGTGGAGAGGCAGGTGGAAGTATTTACATTATCCCTTGTGTTAATCTTCACATATTACAGGCGCGGATGGTTAGCAACCAACACAGCCAAATTTCAGCTTACCCCGAGGAAAATGGCACAACCCAAGAGTCTGATGCCATGGACACCAATGGCCTTCTGACTGAAAACGGTCACCACGAGGAGACTTCACCACCACCTGGTGAACCAATGTTGAACAGCGCTGCAAATGTGGAAGATGCAAAAGCAGATGACATTGACATGACTGTTGCAAACGGTTCGATCGATGAAAACAAAACAGAGTGAGATCAATGAACAGACAGCCAATTGTGGGCCTCTATGCAGAGGACATGCGCCAAAACCATACTGGTTGCTGCGAATGAAAAATTTGTAGCAAGAAATTAACGATATGTTTGTAAGAATGTTGAGATTCTTATGCGAATGAATATTATGTGTGCTAACCCACTACATTGTACACTAGAGTTTTCTTTTTTGGCAAAGTTGTACACTAGAGTTTACTTCGTAAGAGTGATGAAAAAAAGCATTCACCAATTTTGTTTAGTTAAAAATGTTGGATATGGTGCATTGTTTTTGGGGTGTTTTCGGGTGCATGTTCAATAAAAAAAAATACTAAACTCTTACTCCCTTTGACTAAAAAACAATTTCATCTTCATTATTCACAAAGTCAAACTTTGGCTATTCTCTTTGTTAATTTTCATTACTAATTTGATAAAATTCTATGTAGTGATGTTTTTGTACCTCTAGTTTTTGGAAACTTTTGATTTAGTTATAAAATATATACTCCATCCGTCAATAATTAAGCATCTTATTTCAATATGCATATGTCAATTTTTATTTTTTCATTAAATCATTAATCAAAATAATAGTCAGGTCATCTCTTATTTTATAGAAATTTTAATTTAGTTTTTAATTTTTTTTGTAATAGTTTTTTAAAATATAAATCTTATTTTGAATTTTTGTACCATTATTTAAATACATTGGATTGGGAATAAACTTAGTTAAACTTTGTTATTAAACTTAAGTCTTTATTTTTATCTTATTTTTCATATATATTAAATTAAAATAATTTCAGTCAAATATTATATCCCTCAACAAGTTTTTGTGCGGTGGAGGGAATATATTAACCTTTATTAGTTATTTAAAAAAGTTCAAGTTCAGTCCAATGTGATTCTATTACTTTAAATGAGCTTCCAACTCATTATTTAGATGTCATGTCTAGGGGTGGGTCCGGAAAACCGAAAACCGAAAACCAAACCGAAATCGATCGAACAATACCAAAAAAAAGCGCACCGCAAAAACCGAAACCGTACTCCAAAAACCGAACCGATTGCATTCGGTTTCGGTTGTGGTTTTGGCTATTTAAAACCGAACCGAAATGCTAAAAACCGAATGGTACTTAGTTTTAGGCTTTTAGGTTTACGGATTTAGGCAATTACGCGTTAGTCACTTGTTCCATTTGTAGACACAGATTAGCAGACGCAGTCCAATGTTATGGACTGAAACCATTGTAAGGTATGAGACTTGTTCCACATCGATTGTATGTATGGACAATTGATGTGGGGTTTATAGGCCAAATGGGTTCCCTCACCTATCAGGCTAGTCTTTTGGTTGAGTTCTTCCGTTTGGTCTGTAATATCCAACACTTCCTCAATAGCAGGATTTGCGTTCCAGGCTTCCAGCGCCGTCCAACACTTCCGAGTTCCGAGAAACCAATTCGCGTTACGGTGCCGTCCAACACTTCTGAGAAACCAATTTGCGTTACGGCAGATTCGCAGACGCAGTCCAACAGATTACTTCAAGCGCCGTCCCTTAGGAATTTTCCAAATGCAGACACAGATTACTTCGGCCTATTGAATTCGCAGACGCAGTCTAACAGCTTACTTCGCCCTACTGGTTTCTTCTTCAAGCGCAATCTGCCTATTGACCTTAGTCTTCAAGCGCCGTCCAACACTTCCGAGAAACCAATTCGGCCTATTGGTTTCTTCTTCAAGCACAGAAGTTAGTGACGAGAATCTTCAATTTTTGTCCAAGATTGAAGCATCTAACCCAAGAAGGTATGAAATCATATGTTCTTTAATTTTTTTATCAAATGATTCTAGCATTTGAAGTTTCCTAGACTGTAAATTGTTTCCCTGAGAATAAATTTTCCCCAGACTGTAAATTTTTCCCAGACCGTAAATGTTTCCCATACCTAGCAATGGAAGTTTCCCAGACTGTAAATTTGTTGGCTTCCAGATCTCCTATTTCTTCTCTATAAACTATAACTCTCATATTTTAGTAAATGTTTTTGAAGACTGTAAATTTTTTGGTTTCCAGATTCTCCTATTTCTTCTCTATAACTCTCATGACTAATTTTTGAGCATATGTTTATTACAGGAAATAGAAAGTATCACTTGCTCTTTATTTTGTTTTTTATTTTTTTGATGGGGAAAAGGAAATCTAACTCTTATTGAGGATGAGAAACAAAAAAGATGTAGTATGTGTTGTTGCATTCTGGCTGTTATTATTGGAGAAATGGACTTGTTTTTTTACTTGTAATTGTAGTTTATTTATATTTTTATTTGTAGGTTTACAAACTTTACTCTCTACTAATTGTTTGGCATATCTATATAATAATAGGTCTCTACCTAAAATATTATTTTACTTTTAAATTAAATTTTTTAAAAACCGAAAGAATTGAAAAAAACCGAAATTTAAACCGCTAAAAACCGAACCATATAACGATTGGTTTTCTCTTTTTTTTACAAAACCGAACCGAACCGCACCGCCAAAATGTCTTCCGTTCCTTCTTTGGTTTTAGGTAAAAACCGAACCCACCCCTAGTCATGTCAATCAAAATATTTTCATCTAATTAAGCGTGAAGCTGACTAAGTTGGGCTGGAGTATTGATGAGAACTTTGATGATTTCTCAGAGTATTAGCGTGCAAAAAAGAATCTAAGAGTAATATAGTATAGTTAGCCAAATCTGGGAGTATTGGAGTTCAATTTTCCAACATAATTTTATATGCTTATAATACTCCCTCCGTCTCTAAATGGATTACAATTTTTTTTCTCTCTCCTCTCGATAACTTTTGTTTGTTTACGCAATTTCATTAAGTATTTGATAAAATAAAATATTCTTGTCACCTCTTGTTTTGTAGAACTTTTGACGTAGTTTTTTAATATGTAATTTTTATATCTGATTGATATACCAATTTGTAAATAAAATGATTTCAAAAAGTAGAAAATTTTACTCCGTAACCCGCAATTTGTAATCAAATTGGGGACGGAGGGTGTACTATTGTTCTTATTACTTTTTAGTCTATAATTTTTTAAAGGAGTTTTTATACTTTGTAATATTGTAATGTTATCTTACTTTTTTTCCAAAAACTATACGTATTTAAATTATTTACATGGTTTATAATATAATTTGAGATGTCATGCTGCAATAATACGCACCCGAGTATAGTGGAAGTTTGGACCGTTCTTAATGGCTTACTTATCAGAGCTTGGAAAAAGGGTTACAGAGACTTGTTCATAGTGATATACTCCGTATGAAAGATTGTTAGGTGGATTGAAGGGCAAAACGTTTTGTTGTTGAGACTTGTTAGAACTAGATAAATAAAGATTTGTTAGAACTAGATAAATAAAGATTGGGAAGTCACTATTTGTCATGCTCTACGAGAACACAATAGAGTAAAGAATATCATCGCTGTGATGAGCAATAACCAAGAGATTGAGTGGAAAGACTTTGAAACCCACCCGATGTGTTTCATGCTTTGGATGAAGATAAAATAGGGTGTCGTTGGGCTAGGAGTGTGTCAACGAAGAACCTACATTGATGTCTTGGACTCTTTACCCTCCCTTCTAATAAAAAAGGACGAGTGCAATCAATGCTTATATGGTTGCATATTCGGAATGAGCGAGGTAGAGTACTACAAATAACCTTAACCCTTCCTTCATCCGCCATAAATATTGTCAAATTGGCTTTTTGTGTTTTTTAAAGAGGATTTGAAAAAAAATTACTCCCTCCGCCCGGAAATATTCTTTCCGTGTTGACTTGGCACGCTTATTAAGGAATAGTAAAAAAAATGCAAATTTTTCAAAAATGCACATACTATAAACTTTTAAATCTCCTTTTATTATTAAAAAAAGTATATTTGTGATAAAATAGAAGGGTATTATTGATATTTATCCTTAAAAAGTATACTAAAAAAAGAAATGGGAAGAATATTTCCGGACGGACCAAAAAGGAAAGTGGGAAGAATATTTTCGGACGGAGTGAGTATAAATTTATTAATATACTCTTAATGATCGAAAGTGGGTGGAGTATGTTAAATAAGGTGTCATAAATAAAGTAAGAGATAAGGACTAAAGAAGGAATAAAGCATAAAAATATACAAAAATTGGAGTTTCATGTTTTTATTATTAAAATATGAGCTAAAATGCATTTATAATACAAATTTCGCGAATATATAATGTCAAAAAGCATTGTGAAATATCCATATACAGTGCCACATTATCATATTATAAACTTCTTTATTGGAGATACAAACATAAAGTTCTAATTTTGATATTTTCTCTATGTTATTCTTGTTTAAGGTGATTTTTATAAAGTAAATGACGTAATTATGATATTTTAAATATTACTACGTAAAAAAGTAATGAGAAAGTCACCCGCAAACATAAAGACATTTGAGAAAATCTATAGAGACGAAAATAGTAATTAAAATTGGGCGGGTGTTAAATGACGTGGATAAGGGGCGAACTAGCTAAAACGAATGGTTGAGATCTCACACAGTCACACGTGCCCTAGTTGTGATCTCATCCGCGTCCGCCGCGTGGCTGAGGCCGGGCTGTGTGAGCTCGCTGGGGGCTCAGCGTCTGGGCACTGTTTCGAGCCGCCACGCGTCCTCTCGCTCCTGCCACATTCAAACCAGCGCCTCATTTCCCGTACCTTCTGCATCGCTTGTTCGTAGATTCGCACCGCAAACCGGAAATTGGAGCCTCTCTAATGCGTGCTTGCTAATTTAGTGCCCTAAGAACGAGGAGACCGTAGAAGACGACGACGATGACTTCACGCTTGATGCATTGCCCTAAGCGTTCTCTATCAAGATTCACGTAAGTTTTTGAATTTGTGATTCTAACTGCGAATTCCTGACGTTTCTTTTTCTCCATGGTGTATGAATTCGATAGATGTGAGGCATTTTGATTGTTTCTAATACTGTTCTTTGTGATTTTTTTAATTAGTCGTCGTAAATGTTATGCTGATTGTTTTCCTCGTCGCTCTCTTAAAATATACAGTTTTCAAAAAAAAAAAAAGGGTTTAGTGAACTTATTACTCAGAGCCTTCCATTTTGTTTTCTTTACTTTCTAGTTTAATGTGTCATGAGATATTGTCCCCTTTCTTTGTATAAGCATTAGAACTTATTTAGTTTTCACAGTTTGCTCTTAGTACCATTTAACTTTTTAAAATGATGGGATTTCGAGTGCTTAAGATCCTTAAAATGCTAAGCACTATGAAAATTGAATGCACACGCACAAGAAGAGTTTTGAGAGGAAAAGAATATATTTCTATTCTCTCAAGACAGTATATATGTTTACAAGTGCTATATATTAGACACTCACGAACAAATCTTTCCCACACCCAACTCGGATGTGGTTCTGAGTTACTATAAATCAATTACACCCCCTTACACCCGCCCAAGGAGCACTTGGGTTAATCCGATGGTATTCTTGTGTAGACCTCCCCACGATCACCCACAAAACACCGGTGGTGTTTTGTGTGGGAACTTTTCTTGTGTGTGCCTCTCTTCTAGAGAAAATAGCAGTATATACCTTGCTCTAAATCTCCACCATGTCATGAGAATGGCTTTTATAACCAACATGAGATATAAAAATCAAAGAGAACATTAAGTGGCCTTAACAAAAGTATTAATTGTTCTACCAAAATATGAATAAAATTACCATGCATATTCTCACTTTCTTTCAAATAACTACTTTTTTAATTCTTCTGAAAAGAATCCATTTTTCTCAAAATCTCAAAGAAACATGGCCTCAATAACAAGATTTCCTTGTGAAACAAATTAAGTTCATGCAATGAAGTAAGCTAGTGAACAAGGAAAGATGTCGAAGAAAGTAAGAGCCATGTTGCTACCAACATTGTCAGCAATATCTTCTTATACTGACCGTACTCTTAAGTCGGATATACTGGGTGATTTGGTATCATCTTACATTGATCAATATAAAAAGGAAGACATATAAGATATACTTTGAATCAGTAGAGAAGAGTTTGGGATGAGGGACAACCGTTACAAGCTCCTTTTTTATGGGCTACACTAGTTTCGCCCCACTAAACTACATCAACTCATCATTCTTTGTTGAAGGGATCATTTGAGAGCCCAATTCCACCTCCCTTTGCTATGCCGTATCTATTGAAATAGGTGATGCGGTTCCTTATAATTTCTGACTTTTTTTCTTGTGTTTTTTTTTTTGAAATTTACTGAAGTAGTTCTACACTCACAGCATCAGGTATGTCTCTGTTCTCCACGGTTTCTCATATGACCATCATCAAAAGACCACACGTTCATTCACCTAATTTCTGCTAGATGACTTGTAGCTTTGTTTATGGAGAAACAAGCAACATATTAAATGAATAAAAAACTGTAGGTTTGAATAGCTGAACAAGGTTTGATACTGTCCATAAATTGTTATTTCCGGGGGTATTGAGACCACAACAAGGTGGTATTTGTACCATGCTTACTATTCTTAAAGGAGGTATCTAACTTTTGTCTTGAACAATAGCTTGATGTATCTATACAAACTAAAGTAACCCTTATGCGACACAATTTAGCTAGTTGCAAAAGTTAGAACACATCAAATGCTTGTTGGATGTCAACCGTATAACTATTAGGCCTTAGCCCACCTCAAAAGATGTGAATTGAATGAATAACATAAATGTGTATATGCTTTCTGTTTGAATCAATTTCCATTTTTTCATTATTTATATGCATTGAAAAAGTGCATGCTTTTATGCGTTTTGTGCAGTTTTTCTATCAGGTTTTCCAGTGTTCATGGTGAAAGGCCAACAGCTGATTATGCAAAGAGGAGGAAAGAATCTTTGGAAAGCAAATTTGGACATGCTCTTGGAACTTACAGATCAAAAAGCCTTTCGTTATTGTACCACTTTGGCCCATTCCTAGCTTTGTACAGAGCATCAATAATCTCATTCCACGTGTTTAAGATGTCCATTTGGCAATTTTTCGTGGACGACATAACAAAGCGAGCTATTAAGGTATATGATAGTTTCCGGTTTTTTTTTTTCACCCAGCTATTAAAGTATATGATAGTTGCCTGTTCTTTCTCTATTTTTATCACACACATCNCCTTTTTCATGCTTTTAATTACTTTGTAGATCAGTATATGGTCTCTATAAATGGTAATATCTGTTCTATTTATAAGCAACCAAACATCCTATATATACACTAAATTTATCAAAAGTCATTGTTCTGTGTAGTGCACTGAAGTGCGTAAGTGACTAGGTCAAGACTGTTTTGTTGCAATTTTTAACATGGTCTTAGAAAGACCAAGGAAAATCTGCAAAAAGGAAAAGGAAGGTAGTTCTATATTGATATCTTAGGTCATGGAATTTTGAAACACATGTTTCAGGGACCAGGGTATCTGCCTATCTGGTATGGTGTTCATCATGCCTTCTGAGCTTTGACATGTGTTCTGATATGTCTCACTCACCAGATGCGGGATGTTCTTGGATCAACTTACATATCATTCACTGTTAAGTTTGAATTCATCTGATTACACAAATGAACAGATCAACAAAAATAAATTCAGCTTCAAGCTATTACGTACGCCTCAAAATGTTTGGTTGAAGTTATTGAGTTTAATGCCCTTAATTTTCATACAATCGCTTCTATACACCCTCACCTTAAACAATTTATTTTGCATTTTTAAAAGTGGCTCAGAGCAACACTTCAAAATTCAAATGCATGTGTTGTGTAAAAGATGAATCATGCATTACTCATTGCAATCTAGTAATTACATGACTCTAAGTTAATGAAGTTCTTTTCTATATTGGTGAGTGGTGACAGAAATGTAACACCAGATAATACGGAACATGTTAATCTTGTATTGTATTCCCTCCGTCCCCCTGTATTTGTCCACTTTCATTTTTACACACCATCCAATGCACTTCTTTAATCCATTTTATCTTGTAATTTGTATATTAAGAAATTATATATTAATAATCTATATGTTAAGACAAATCAAACAAGATCACAGTCATCACACATGACTATATTTAGGCTTACACATTGAGAGAATTTGATGAGTCAAAGTGCTTAGATGAACAGTTCCAAAAGTCAAATGTGGACAAATACAGGGGGACGGAGGGAGTACAAGTAATAATTCAATAGAATTAAAATGAGTATGCTGTATCGGTTGCATGCACTAGCATATACTCCCTCCATTCTTAATTAACTACGTGGTTGGCGTTTTTGGTACATTGAAAAATGTATTAGTCTGGATCTAATTGCATCACATCCACTCATTTTTAATCTACCAAAATGTCAACCAGACAGTTTGTTAAATATTGAGGGGTAATGTATATATATTAACATGGTGAAGAGGGTGAATGGTCAGATGATGACCATAAGGCTGACTTTGAGCGGGCTTACTTTTAAGTTTTAATGTAATAAGGTGTATGTGCCTCAGGCCCTCAACTGGGTAAGGTGGATGACAAAGGCAATTTAGGGAGGACAGAGGAGTTTGTGAGGGTCATTTGTTCACTAGGACAAATGTTTTACTTTAAATGTTTTTGGGTACTAAGTAATGTGTAAGTGGGCCTAAATGCTAGGAATAGTTACGAAGTAATGTGTTAGTGGCCCTAAATGCCAGGGATAGATATATATTTTGCTTCTATAAATATCGAGGCTCATTAATCCAGTATTTAACATTGGAGATTCTCATTAGGTTTTATCTATTAGATGTGAGTCAAAGATTCTTTCTCATTTCCTACTAAGATTTTTCCTTTATTATTTTGTTAGGTTATATTCCGATTTCATAATTTAGTAAAATTTTTACCTTTTCATCTCTCTATTTATTTGGGTTCTCTATCGTTTGGCATAAAAACCGTACAATCCATAAAGTGTTCCTTGTGCACTAACTTTGTTTGTGAAATTTCTATTCTCATTGATCATTCTATCATGCAATTCCTCATCTAACCATTACTTCCCTTTTGAATTCCACCAATTACTTTGCATCATATCTTGTATTGATGTCATTAATTCCAAATGGGCAGCATCATAAGTTCGAGGTAAGGTTGTTCGTTTTGTGAACCCCTTAGGAAAGTATCACAACAAGCAAAATCCATCTCGAGGTCGAACGAAAGAAAATTCAAAAACTGAAGGTCAAGGTTGAATTTGTTGGTACTTAATAGTCCCAAACCTAGATCATTTGCTTATAGCCCAATAAATAATTTCCCACATGATGGCTATGGAGTTTAAATCGCAGCACCAAGCTCTGATAGTGAACACAACTAAGTTGTCTTAAAATGGCCCCTCCATGATTGGGACTAGAGCATCTCTCATTGACAAGGACAATTTAAACAAGGACATTTTTTCCAACGTGAATGTATGTTTGGTGTTTAGTCGCTAGTGCCAAACCCCTGCATTCTCACCTATAAAGTTGGCTAAAGAAGAAGACAAAGATTCTTCAGACAAGTGATGATAACGCCTTCGATTTGAGGTTACAAAATTCTAATGCATCTATCTACACCATTGTGGGAAATTCAGCATCATCACCGATAAAGCTTCATGATATTACCTTGTTATCCCTCTGATCTACAGAGTAATTTTTATGGATAGTGGCATCACGCCATCATATATCAGTTTATTCGTTGAAGATGTGGTGTCCTATTTGCACCTTTTTTTGCCACCATGCTTTATTTAGAGTTGTTGATATATGTTATTATACTGTCCTCCTACCACCCCTGCTTAAACCTTTGGATATGCAAAGAAGCTATTGCCTATGTTTTGCCATGAGGACAATGGAAATTTGGGAGGAGATAATGATATAGTACCGAATGGGCAATTACATGAGAGGATTGAATTAATTTATTTGTATGTTAATATTTATTGAGTAGAGTTGGTTAGGGTCATTTGTTTATTTGGTCAAATGTTTCATTTGAAATATTTTCAAAAACTAAATAGTAAGTTTACTAAGTAATGTGGAAGTGGGCCTAACTTCCAGGGATTGATAGTAATTTTCTTTCTATAAATATTGAGGCTCACTATCTTTAAAAGGCATCAAGAAATTAATCTGATATTTAACATCGGATATTCTCTTTGGGTTTTATTAGATGTGACTTTAAGTATAATGGGTCAACAATAGACAAGGGAACAGAGAGATTGACGAGGATGTCACACACCGTATTGGAGCAGGGTGGATGAAGAGGAGTCTAGCCTCCAGAGTGCTTCATGATAAGACTCTAAGGTAAGTTCTACAAAGTGGTGGTTAGACCAGCACTGTTGTGTGTCCATAATGCTCGCCACTTAAGTATGCTCACGTACACATGGTGAAGGGAGTGGAGATGAGAATGCTATGACAATGTGATTACTAAACAAGGTCAGAGTGCTCCTGTTGTAGACAAAATGACAGAAATGGGCTACTATAGTTGTGGCATGAGAAGAGGAGATGTGAGAATGTGTCAGAAGCCGGGAGGCATGACGTGCGAGACAGCAAGAGTTCAATGATTGCAGAAGTTAGGAGAGGCAGGCTAAAGAAGAATTGGGGAAGGTGATTAGATATGATGTGCTAAACTCAACTCACCCGGGACATGACTTTAGATACAAAGTCACGACAGTGGAGGATTAAGGTAGTAGATCGTTAATTCTTTGCCGTTTTTGTTTGTGAGGTGCAAACTGCAAAGTTGTTTAAGGTGTGAGGCACAACAATGCACAAAGGGCTTTTAGAGCCTCGATGCAAGATGCACAATTGAGGCACACACATCACGAATGCCAAGCGCAAATGAATGACTTTTAGCATAACATCTCTAAATTACACATACTCATTGACAAATAAAAACACCAAAAGTCCAAAGAACAACAAAAGGCATAGACAAACTGCCAGAAAAAGAACAAGTTGCTGGGGGCACAGTTAAAAATACAGAAACTGTACTGAAAGTGCACTCACTGCCAACTCAAAAGAAAAAAATCCTGAAATAAAAAAGGATACTAATCTGCTAGGAAAATAATCCAAGAAGAAGAGAAGGGAAAAACCTGACAAGGGGAATGAGAATCAAACCAGAAGTCAGGCAGAGAAGCAGAAACTCAAAGCTGGTATGTGAGATTTGTTGGAAGATGAAGGTCAACACGAGAGGCGGAAGAGTCGTCAACCCTAAACTTAAAAAAAATCTTACTGGTTTATGATGCCCCCTCTCTCGCGCCTCAAATAGCATCACATAAAGTGATGAATTGCAGCTACGGGCACGCCTCTTGTACGTCGCCCGTATCACAGAGGATGATGCCCAGGGTACTGTACCTCTTGCGCATTGCGCTTCAGGCACACCTCAGGCTCGCTTTTCACAACCATGGTTTGGGTTAACTCTTCCATCTTATGCGCGGACTATACTCATGTGTTTTAGAATGTGACATTTCACTTGTAGTGTATCTCGTTATGTCGCTTGCTTCTTCTTGTAAACTTTTGTTGCTTTTATTTTTTTGATTCCTTTTGAGCCAAGGTTCTATCAGAAACAGCCTCTCCACCCCTGATGACAGTCATGGGTAAAGGTAAAAGGTCTGCGTATATCTCACGCTCCCCATACGCCACTTGTGGGATTGCACTTGTTTGTTTTTGTATCTGTTAATGGCTTCATGCTATGAAAGTTTGAAATTGTCTTTGACACTTCAGTCTCTGATATGGCTTTTCATGGTTTTTGAAGTGTATAGTATCACTGCTGTTTGTCTTTCCTTTATTGATAAGGTTAAAACTGGATATAATCCATATGGAGGGCTAATGATGTCAAACATTGTGTAATCCAATGACCAAGCAGTTAACTTTATCATCAACTGTCCTGTCTAGTCTCAAGTATGCAAAGTGGCTACCCTCTGTCCGTTTATCTATTATGGATTTAAGAATAAGGGGTCAAACTATCGAAAAGGGTAACATATAAGTACAAGAATATAATCTATCTTTATATGAATGTGTTTGAAAATCTCGAGTTTTAATTCTGTGTCATCATTCTTACCAATGTAGTAATTCTGGCATTTATCATTTATTATTGCAGTTTCGTCAAACACTTATTCGGTTGGGACCTTTCTACATTAAGGTAAAATACTGTTTTTGCTCAGCATTATGGACTTTGTTGTTCGCTATGCATTAGATTTTTTCTGAAATTTTGAGATTTAAATGTTACATTTAACTTAATGGTTTTCTGTGTGTGTGTCGGGGGGGGGGGGGTGTGTTATTGAAAACAGAAAAGTGAGAATATAAACCATTCTATTGTATTACTCCCTCCGTCCCAAGAAAAGAGTCCTACTTTGACTTGACACAAAGTTTAAGGAAAGTGAGAATGTGTGATTGAAAGTGATGCAGAAGAGAAAAAAATCGTGAACCACTCAAAGTTTTCCAAAAAATCGAAAGAAGAGGCTTTTTTGGGACATCCCAAAAAGGAAATAAAGAGTATTTTTTTGAGATGGAGGGAGTATAAAATTAGCACCTAATCATCCAATGAAACCTAGTTACCTTCTAGAACTCCATGACCTCAAGAGAAAGGCACATGAACATGGTAGCCCAACTACCCTGCAGCTTAAATTCTAGACCTCATACTGGGGACATTAGCCCAATATTATTTTAAAATTTAAATTGGTCTTTGTAAGGAAGAGTTAGGTGAATCAGGCGAGCAATAGGCCTATTTGTTTTCCTTAGATCACGGATAAATTTGAAATTGTCATTCTTTTCATATGGCTACCATTTGAAGGATCAATTTATTGGGTTTCAAATCATATTAGTGCAGACCCTGTTCTACTGGGCATTAATGAATTAAGGGACTCTAGAAGTCACGTGGATCTAGCTTACTTTTCTTTGGCTTAAACTTTACATAGAAGTTAATCAGTCTACACCTTGTAATTGAATGGTTGTTATAGGGTCATGTATTTATTATTCCATATTTGAGTAAATATGAAAATGTTTTGATTCCCTACCATGCAGTTTTGGCATGCTTACTAGTGAAGAAACTACAAATTAATGTTAATAGAAAGAACTTTATTCTGCTAAAAGAGTTTACTTTTTAATAGCATTTAGGTTGAATATTTTGTAAAATACATGGTGCCATGATTGACACAATCTTTGTAAATTATGTTGCTCGTTTTTTGTCCTAGCCAGTGCAGTCTGTTTATATATTACTTGAACCATCTGTGTTTATAGCTCCACTAACTGTGGATCACTGGGTCGGAATAATTTAAAGATGTGTTAATTTCTTGATACTGACACTGATTTTTTAGCCAAGCGATGTTAAACTCTGTCGCTTCTTAATATGCATTTTTTTCTTCTAAATTGATGAGTAAAGCATTAGGAGGGGCCATTATTTTGGAGAGGGGGGAGTATAATGATTTTTTAACAAATAAAAGGGTTTATAGATCATTCCTTCTTTCTGGAATCAACAGCTAGGCCAAGCTCTGAGCACAAGGCCAGATATACTGCCGGCAGTATATTGCCAAGAACTTGCTAAGTTACAGGTAAGCCGATCTTTATTATATACAGTTCGCGTCTAAAGATCGAAAGTATTACTGATTGCGACATAGTCTTGTTCAGAGTTTTTTTCTCTTTTATACTTGATAATGTCTCTTATTTGCTAGGATCAAATTCCTCCATTTGCAACACATGTTGCAACTAAATCAATTGAGACTCAATTAGGTCTCCCAATAGATAAGATTTTCGCTGATATTAGTGGGGAGCCTATTGCAGCAGCATCTCTTGGACAAGTTTACAAAGGTTCGATTATCTCAGTTTATCATGAGACTCATTGGGTGCTCTATTTGGCCATCTGTGTATATTGCAGAATATCACCTGTTTACTTTGAGGTCCTGCATAGTCCATGTATTCCCTATCCTTCGCTTACTGTATTCTTTACCATTTCACTTCACACGGAGTTTAAGGAAATAAAATTCTGAGGTTGAGATTTATTTAGAAAGTAAAATTTGAAAGAATCAATATCTGCCACACAATTATTTCTATAATTGGATACGAAAAGATTATTTCAGGACAAACAAAAAAGGAAGTTTGGAAGATTTAGGGAGGATGTGCCATGGCGGTATTCTTGTTGTTTTTTCTTTGGACTTCTTTTCTTTTCATATTGATACTTGATAATGGCGTGAGTTGTTGAGAAAGTGTAATTGCTTTCTTTCCATTATTGAGAATGTGGAAACAAGAACTTAAGTGTGTGGTGGGACAATGGGTTCAGGTATTTTGTGTAGACAAGGCCTTGACACCAAACAAATTTTATCCTAAATGCTTGGTTTCTTGCTTCAAGTTTTTCAGCTCACTTGCACACTGGAGAGCTTGTAGCTGTTAAAGTTCAGAGGCCTGGTATGTCTCATTTGTTGACACTTGATGCCATGTTATTTCACATGATTGGGGGCCAATTAAAAAGATTTGCAAAGGCTCGTAAGGATCTCTTAGTGGCTGTGAATGAGTTGGTGAGAGTCCTAAACCAAAAAGATTTGTCTGAATAGTGATAGAACAATGCTGGCCTTCTTTTTTCTGTTTCATTTCAAAAATAGAAAACAGGAAAAGGAAAACATCAAAATACATTTTAAGGTGTTAACTGATTCTATTCATCCATGCTTGAGTTTGCTGTAATTGGATCGTGGTCCTTCAGGACCGTTTCAAATTTTGTAATACAAAATAGCTGGATTTGGTTTTTCTAATCTCATTGTAGTAGAGCCCTTTTTCATTCCATATCATGGTATGAAAGAGCTGTCCCGTTTTATCCACAGATCATTTCAAATATGTTTCAGGGAGTAGGAATTATTATTTCTCTTCATAAATGCATTTCTGCACTGCTGAAAACTCCTTACATATAATGAAAATACAAATCGATGTGGGTTGCACCTCACTCTTGTAAAAGGTACTGTTACAGATCAGTAGTCTAAGTATGTAGTGCGAGTTGCTTGTTTTGTTCCATAACAGTCAGTATAAGTGAGGATGTGGACTGGGTTCATGGTTATGTGTGTTTCTCATTGGACGTTATAACTCAAAAGATACTCAATATAATAATGGATCTCATTTGTCTCCAAAGATTTATATAAATTGATAATTCTCCATCTATGGAGAACGCTCATCTGTATGTGGGAGGCAGGGAGCACTCTTTTATCAGTGCTGCAATCTTTATAGAGTGCATGTGTGTGCATACTTATATGAAAGGTTAACATTGTATGAAATATGATGTTTGATGCATTGGTCAATGTGGGTTAATTTTCTGTTTTGATGGACCGGTTAGTTTTATTTGTTTTCTGTCACTTTCTTTTATTACAATGTCTATTTATGTGTTTGTTCAATCCCTTAGGGTTTGCTTGATTGGATAGGTGAGGCATATGTTTGAAGAGATTGACTATATCCTGGAGGCGCATAACGCAGAACGATTTGCATCTCTGTATGCATCTTACTGTATGTTCTCCATCTGCTGTTCCCTGATTAAGCATTGTGTGTATGAAGTGCTTGCCTTCTGAATATTTCTAGATCACATTTTAGTTTCCTAGTTTTTTCCATCATCTCCGATGGAGCCAAAATTTCACCATTTTTTGGCTTTGGAGTGTGATGGAATAAATCAAAATGGATTTCTAAACTGTCTGCGCTTCTTTAATTAATGAAGTAGCAGTTAGTCAAGCAATGCGACTTTCAACGTTGAGCCGGGGGTCTCTTTGGAAACAGCCTCTCTACTTTCGAGTAGGGGTAAGGTCTGCGTACACACACCCTCCCCAGACCCTACTCTTGTGGGATTCAACTGGGTTGTTGTTGTTGTTGTATTTTAGTTTCCTAGTTATTGATTACTTGAAAGGTTGCGTACACATGCCTCCCCAGACCCTACTCTCACGGGATTCAACTGGGTTGTTGATGATGTTGTTGTTGTAGATATTGTTTCCTTAAAAGTCATGTGTATTTCCTTTTTCCCCAATAATTCTTATTGTCTTGATCTCATTTTATGCTTATACTTTTTTAAACTATCAGATAGTGAAAATATCAGCCGAGGAATTGAAGATGATAGTGTTATAAATATGAAAGTGAATGGCATTAAGGTTCCCAAAATATACTGGAATTTTACTCGTAAAGAGGTTCTTACAATGGAATGGATTGATGGAATAAAACTTACTGATGAAAGTCGCCTGAGGAATGCTCATTTAAATAAGAAAAAACTTGTTGATCAGGTAACCTACTTTTTGTATTTAATGCTGCCTCCTCTTTGTTGGTCTTTACTTAGCAGTTATATCTTCTAGTTTTTTTTTTTTTTTGAAAAAAAAATATAGGGTCTATATTGCTCTTTGAGGCAGTTGCTGGAGGTAGGCTTTTTCCATGCTGACCCCCATCCAGGGAACCTTGTTGCCACTGAGGAGGGATCTCTTGCTTATTTTGATTTTGGAATGATGGGAGATATTCCACGTCACTACCGTGTTGGACTTATAAGAATTGTAAGCGACATGGAACTATTGACTATCTTGTTACATCTATTTGGAAAAATGAATTCTGGCAGCTCACACACTTAGTCTTATTAAATGGAACCCTAGCCTTATTGGCTTAGGCCTACTCATAATTTTTTCACATTGTGTAATCGTGTATATACTATATACACATATCATTGTAATTCTATCTTGAGATATGATGATAGATATTTTTCTTCGTAACCGACATTCCAATATTTTGCAGCTAGTGCATTTTGTCAATCGCGACTCAATGAGTTTGGCAAATGATTTCCTCTCTCTTGGTTTCATTCCTGAAGAGGTTGACATACAATCAGTTGCAGACGCATTGCGAACATCTTTTGGGGATGGGAGTAGACAATCCCAGGATTTCCAGGTTCTACCATACCTTCCTTTTTTTATGCTTTTATATCTAGCCACTACATACCGCATTTGCAGTCATTATTTTCTCATCTGTATGGTGTATGTAATATGTATGTAGTGAATGACCACAACTAGTCAAGTTGATTATTGCTTGCTATCTTTCAACTTTAGGGAAAAAAACTTGCATTGGTCCTGCTCTACATCCTGTGGTATCCAAGCTTTAGGACAATGCTTCCTTATATGTAATGATTATCATCTTTACTATCACATTAACCCGAATTAGCTGGGATTGGTGACATAAATTTGTTGTTCCCATTTTTTAGTACTGATTTTGTTACAATGTAGTATATGTTCATACATTCTTTCTCAACCTAAAGCACAGAGAGTCAACGCCCCCATAGGGGTTCAAACATGTGACCTCCCATTTGGGAGAGCAATAGTTATGCCGTTTGACCACAAGCTTTTTGGCTATTGTTCCAATTAATACTACCTTATATGTAAGGTGAAAGAGGGAAGCGTCACAATAACTCTTCTTTAATCCATAGCAATTTTTGAAAATTGTGAGGTATGTAGAGGAGAGATATTGTGCTAGATATCAGATACTCTGTATGAATTGAAATACCTGCTAATTTGATTGGCATAATACAAAAACTATGGGTAGCACATCTTTTAGTCTTTTGTACAAGGACATTTCCAACCTAGGTTCATGATCAATTACAGCATTGCTCAATCTAAGAATGCTCCTGAATCATGATATTATTGTTCTTGAACCAATCTAGGTGCGTGATCGATTACAGCATCGCTAAGGTCAGGCTGTTCTTTTGCACTTGCAGAATGTAAAATAACACCTAGTACATTCTATGTCATCCTCAACTCTGTCCCTTTTATGTCTATATTCTTGACAACAAACAGTCAAACACTAGCAACATCCATTACATTCTAAGTCTCACTTTCCCTTTAAACACAACTTTCAATTTTTTAAGTCTAACCTTTTTTCTGATTTGACAATTAACATGCTGACCCATTTGCATATTCTTAATGAATCACACTAGGGTTAAGTGGTTAACAAAGAGATTTAATCACATATGATTTTTTTTCCTTCATATTCGCACAAAAGCAGATTTGTTTCATAATATGCGGAAGTGGGAGTACATTTTTAAAGATGAGTTGCTCTTTGCCTTATCCTTAGTTCTTGCGATCAAGTATTAGTTAGAGTAGTAGGTTAAGTGAGTTTTTGGGCAGGTATTCCTCTTGTTCTGGGTGTTTTGGGTTTCTTGGGGTAGCTTGGGTTAGGGGTTCTTTTACTATTTCCTTTGTTTGGTGTTTATTATCATTTTTTCTTTCCTCATGTATACAACGACAACCTAGTATCATTCCAACTCCGTTAGGGTCTCGGGGGTACTCTTGTGAAAACAAAGAGGCTGTTTCCGATATACCCTAGGTGCATTGATGCATTTATTGCGCAAAACTTCATAGAAAGTCAGAAGCAAGGGAAGTTTAATGTTCCATTTTAATTTTGTTCATGTATCTTTGCTTTTTATTTATGAGATTGTTCTAATGTATTTCCTTCATTCTTGTGAGTCGGGGGTCTTTGAGAAACAACCTCTACCCTTTGTAGTTAGGGGTAAGGTCTATGCAAACCTACTCTCCAGAGCCTACTTGTGGGACTTCACTGTTTTTATTGTTGTTGTGACTCTTTGCACGTAGAAAAGAGTCATTTTCAGGGACAAGACACGAGCTCTAATAAAATAAACAAAAAATGAAAAAAAACATATTTATTATTGTTGTTGTTGTTGTTATTGTTGTTGTTGTTGTTGTTGTTGTTGTTATTATTATTATTATTATTATTATTATTATTATTATTATTATTATCGCCTTGGTCCTACAAAGTATAGCTATTTTTTGAACAGTTCCTGCATCATAAATTCAGAATATCATTTCAGGGTATAATGAATCAGTTATACGATGTAATGTACGAGTTTAACTTCTCTCTCCCTCCGGACTATGCGTTGGTGATCCGTGCTCTAGGATCACTAGAAGGAACAGCAAAAGCACTGGATCCTGGATTCAAAGTGGTGGAGAGTGCATATCCATTTGTTATTGGGAGGCTTTTAGCAGACCCAAGTCCTGATATGAGGAGAATACTGAGAGAGCTTATCATCTGTAATGATGGTTCCCTCAGGTGGAACCGGCTGGAGAAACTGGTGTGTAATTTACCTTTACAAGTCTCCTATAGTTAAATTATCAACTTGACACTTAATAGTCTGTTACTTACATTAGCTTGATAGATGCCTGGATATGACTCCTTGTCATTACTTATTACTGATATACACTATTTTGTGACAATCTGACATCCTTGCATTTTTCCATTGGCAGTCCTTGGAGAGAGACCATTGTTCCTTTGTAAAAATGTTGTTCTCTTTTTTTAAGTTTTTTTTTTAAATTTAGTATGTTATTTTTGAATTATCTTGATTAATTTAGAACATATCTTTTAGTATCTGTAGGCTCCTTTTTGAGTTAGTTTGGGATTTACTCACATCCTAATTAGATTCTTAATGTGATTTTGCAGTAGTAGTCATTGTATTGGATTTTGTGCATGTTCTTATATAAAAAGGGGTTTTCATGGAACAATACAAGCACAATTTTCTGCATAGAGTCTTAGGATCTCAAGAAGAACCAAACATGGGACTTTTGGAATCTCAAAACAATTCTAGTCCGACCGCAATTTCATACATGTTCCATCCTCTTCACAATTCAGCCTGTGATATTTTCCTCTGATTTCAACCAATCACTTATCATGCATTTCTACGCTAGCAATCAACGGATAGTACATGCCAAATATTCCATACTATTTTTGGTTGATTTTGTATCAAAGTGTCTAGAAATGTGTTGTCTCGTTATAGCAATGAGAGTGTCACCCTAATACATTGTATACACGATATGGAGCAACTCTAAAATGTTTACCTTGTTTTAGGCTATTTTATTATCAAACCTTAATGTTAGAAGTTCAGTAATCCTCATCATGGTCTAGCGTACCCATGATGTATGTTTTAAAAGTTCATTTTTCAGAGATAAAAAGGACAATTTTTAATAAGTATCTTTGCTTGATAGCATGTAATTCGAAAATATTGTAGCACTAGACTACCAGTAGCAGCTTAGGGCACAAAAGTGATAATTAGTGTCTAACGTGATTCTAGTTGCATTCAACAATTTCATTTCCTTTTATGTTTTGTTGGATTAAATAAAAACCGAGGATTGTGTACTGAAAATAATTTAGTTATTTGATGAAATTTCTCATGTTGTCATTTATGTTCTTCCCAAATTCTGACATTCTATTGATCTGTTCCAGTCTAACGCCTATTTGTGCTATGTACAAAATCCTTTACTCTCTTTTTTTAACTATTTCCATGTATAACTGCATACATTATATTCATAAATTTACATCAAATAAATTTTCATATTTCCAATAAGGCTTCACATTACTATTCACACAGTCAAACCATATTTCTTTCCTTACATATTTTGATTGAATATTTGACAAAATAAAAGAGTCAAGTCACCTCATGTTTTGAAGAACTTTTGATATAGTTTTTAAGTATCTACACCAATTTTTTAATAAATTGAATTGAAATTAACTTCTATCAAGAATCACAAACCCAATCAGGAACCTTATTTTGCAATGGACGAAGTATCATTTACAGATCAAGAACCTGATATAACCTCAAATTTCTGTTCAAGACAATGTGCACAAATAAAAATCTTTTATGGATACAAAATGGTTGAAATTTGGAAAAATGTCCTTTTGTTCTTCAATTCGCTATAAAATAGTAGTTATTGTGCGTGGAGATATATAACTATGCTAGGTATAAGCTTTATACAAAGCTTGAATGACTTGTGAAACAATGAAGGTTCTTTTTTAGTTTGCATCTCAGTAAATTAATACTAAAAACTACTTTTTTTCATGTAGGTTACGGCAATATCACAACAAATAGCTGCTGCAGATGGAGAAGCACAACACAACGACTCAAACCCACTTGAACTGTCTTTTGACATGCGTGCTGTAGTTTCTGCCACTGAGGATCTTTTCACCTTCATATTATCGGAAAAGGGTTCGAGGGTGCGTGCATTCCTCATCAGGGACATAATTAACGCTGCTGATGCTTTTCTTCAGGATGAAATTATTCATGATCTTTTCTCTGAGAAGCCTCAATCCAGGAATAGATTGAAATCTGAGGTATGTCCTGATATCTCTGAGGAGTAACAATCTTAGGTTAGAGTCTGAGGGGTATATATTCATTGTAAGATTTTGTAACGTGGCAACTTTCTGCAAAGATACGATGAGGTCAAATAAAAGTGCCTTTAAGGGATCTAAAAGCTGAATGTTAGGGTATTTGGCAACCAGCTTTTTTATTCATACTTTCTTACTTTCCTGTTAAGGAAGAAATATGTGGCTCACAACATTTCTTTCTTATAACCAATTTTCAACCACATATTTCTTAGACTCTTGTGAAGTAAGCCCTAAATTTGTTTTTAGGGTGGAGGTTTTTGCATAAAAGTGCTAACACTTGTCAAACCTGCAAATACAAATTGCTATCTAAGAGCTTGTTCTCTGCGTTGGATTGGAGGTCTGATTGTAGTTCTGTTTAAAGTTGTTTCTGATCTAATTTGGTGTGGTCTGATCTGATTTAAATAAGTTTAAGCTGAAGAAAACAAGCTCCAACTCCCACATGCTATCTTCTAATGGATTTTTACCAAACACCCCCTATATGTTTGCTCCTTTTCAAAATATTTCAAACTTGTGTTTACCACGATATGTTATATCTAAACATGCTTTAATAAATGTGACCTAGTTCAACTATTAGATTTTTTGAAAAGCTCCAAACTGGAGCACTTAATAGGCTTTTTTTTTAAACTTATTCCAAAAAACACCCCAACCATCTTCAAGGAATCCCATTTTAGGCCAAACAGTCTCCCTCTTTTGTTCAACAACTGATTGCTTCTGAGGTAAATTTTCATCACTCTTCTTCTTGTATCATCACTATCACTGACTGTCTCCCCCTTTTGATAGGGACAAGCTATGGTAATGAGGGTGGCCAAGGGCTTTCAATCCATGGGACAAGCAGTGAGATTGGCTCCAGAAGTTTGGGTTGCCTTGTTTGTCCGGTTGGCTTTACGGTCCGAGTTTCAAGTGTTTGTGTTGGATATCGTTTCAGCATTGGTCGACCACGCCAACGAAAGAGTGCCCACTGGTTTTTGGATTTTCATCTCAAGACTAATTCACAAGTGCAATGGAAAACTCTGACACTTTTTGTATACTTGGTATTTTTTTTCCCTCTAGTCCTTCATACTTTCATCAAATACGTAGTATATAATGTTTGGTACCTTGAATTGTCATGTGTTTATATATTTCCCTTGGAAATTACAGGTTTTTTAAATTTTGCGTTGTAGTATACCCCCTCCGTCCATTTTTAATTTTCCCACTTTCCTTTTCGGTCCGTCCATAAATAATCTTCCCGTTACTAAATTAGGCAAAGAATCCAAAGTAAAATGACTTTAATACCCTTCCTTTAACTCCACTTACAAAACCCATTACCCACTTAAATTTATTTTTCAACCCTTTAATTTGTTTTTCTTTTTTTTCTTTCTTTTTTTCTTCTCTCCTCTCTTCTTCCGATTCTCTTCTTTTTCTTCTCTCCTTTCTCTCTTCCTCAGATTCTCTTTTTACTTCTTCTACTCCATCTTCATCTCTTCTTCTTTATTTTCTTTTTTCATGTCCACCATCATCTTCTTGCCCAATCTTAAGACTCAGGGGTCATCGGATCTTTCATATCTTTGCCAGTTCAAATTTGTGATGAAGGATCTTCTTCTTCAAACCTTCTTTATCTTCTCCTTCTTCAAAACCTTTCATCTTCTTCAGATCTTGGATTCTTCCATCTGTGGGAACAAAATGCTAAATTTGGGCTTGAAAGGATGCCTGCGAGAATACTGGAATGTTGAGGTTGGGTGAAATTTCGCTCGCTGGAATTTTGATCGATTTAGGTAGACAGAATTTTGGTCAGGCATGCTCTTCAACAATGGGGTTGGGCGAGATTAATTTGGGTTAGGATAGGTATGGGTGCAGATGTGTGGGAAAGTGGAGGGTATTTTGGAGAAGTCATAGCAAATTTTAACTTTTATTAAACTCCATGCCCGGTCAAAGCAGAAACCTAAAAATTGGACGGAGGGAGTATCTGTGAGTTGTAGTAGTCTGGTGGAGAGGTGCACTTTGCTTTGCCCAAGTTTTTCTTCTTATTCTTATGAAACGTGTTGGTTCACTAAAATAAATTTTGATTGGTCAAAATCTTTGTACCATAGCCAGAACTCATTCTGCATCACCACCGCCTCCGGAAACTGACAAAGCGCCCGACCCACCACCACCGTGCCAACCCTCCATAGTCCACCACTCCACACTCCCTATTTCCTATTTTTTCTTTTAAAAACTAATTAAATTTATTTAATTTTGAATATCAGTAATTAATTTATGAATTATGAACTTATGAATAATTTGTGTTTTATATGAGTATTTTAGAGTAATTGTTGATCTTTGCTCAATGCTTACATTGAGTTTAACTTTTTCGGAGCAAAATGAAAAAATATTAAACCTTAACTCAATAAAAATTATAATGTATACATGTATAAAAATGACTTCATCTAATTTATATTGTTGAGAATTTTATAATTTTGTTCTGTTGTATTAATATGTACTAAGGGTGGAGTTCAAGGTCGAAGGGGGAAGGTTGAGAGCTGGGGTATGGAGTATGTAATATGCGGGTGCACTTGGTTGTAATTATCTAATTGCAGTATTACAAAAGGATGGCCTGAGGGTCTTAACCCGATTATAGTGGTAATAATGGTATATATTTATCTCTATCTGAGTGTTCCTTTTTTCTCTCTAACTTGTGACCCCCCTCCTCCCTCGCTCCTTCCGTTGTCTATATTTATAAGGAGGGTGGTCATGGGCAAACATGAAGTAAGGCATGGCAGGGGTACAGTGGTCCGTACAATGTACATACCCACCATTGGTGAGCATGTGTGTCAGATGTCACCTCTGCATTAAATACTTCGTACGAATATCGCGATGTGTAGTTGGACTCGATGTGAATGGACTAAGACAGAGTGATTCTTGATTTGTCCTTCGGTGTGTTTTTGGGAAAACGTTTTAGCCCAAGTATGTCTCAATGGACTCTTGGTCCCTGACTGCTGGTCGAGGCACCAGCCTTCTCAGGGTCCATGAGCTCCAGGGGTGTTCATATGGGTCGGCCCATGCTCTATTGAGCCTTAACCCTAAGAATTACTATCACAGGATATAGATCTTTTGACCTTTTGAAACCACGGCTATTTTATTATTAGAGATACTTAGAGTGTTTCCTTGACAAACATAATAGTGCTTATTCCTTAACTCTCAAAATCTCTTACTTTCATCCTCCCTCCATAAGTCATGGATTTGGTTAGGCCAAATTAGCTATCTAGTGAGAGCTAAAATGGAGTGCACGAGATTTTAAGAGGTAAGAATCATCAATTTATGTGTCTTGGTCTTGAAATGACATTGATTTTAAGACTTTTACCGTTATTATTATTGTTATTATTATTATTGTTGTTGTTGTTATGGTTTTTTGTTATTATTACTGTTATTATTAATAATGTTATTATTATAATATTATTATATTATTATTATTATTAAATATTATTATTATACTTATCATCATTTCTACTCCATAATATGGTTGGATGGGGATTATTGTTTGAGCATGCTTTATTTATTCCTGCTTTTACTCTCAACCTGTTACCTTTCTTCGATATAATATTTCGCGTCGTTTTCTTCATGATTTCTTGTTCCCGTCTTTCTCTCTCCTCCAGGTACATTCTCGCTCCCTTTTATTCTACTATTGCGCAATGCAATCGTTATCTTAATCTTCAAGTATTTTTCTTCCCCCGAATTTCTTTCGCGATGAAGTTCCATTCAGATCTCAATTTTTTCCTCTGAAAAATTCGGTCGGTTAGGTTTTGAAAACAGGTTTGATTTCCAGCGATTGGAGATTATGCGAACGATTCCAATCCCGAAGAAGAAGAAGAACAATTAAGATTTTTTTTTTAATTTAAAAGGAAAGATCAGATAATTTGAAGAAAGGCCAGATTGAAGTGAATATTATGGGTTATTTGAATTCGGTATTAACATCTTCTTCCAACAAAATTGATGTTGACGACGCGCCGGTCAGCGGTGGCGGTCTCAGGTGCTCTTCCCATAACTCTCAAATGTCTGTCTGCATAACTTTCGTTGATTCTGTGTGTTTCTTTTACAATCATTCCGTACAATTGCTTTGGGAATTCGGTACAGGGGGGATTTTGTATGTTTGATGCGGAGAATTTTGAAAATTATGTATTGTTCTCTGCTGGGCTGATATCCTTGATTATTGGTGTTTTTCTTCTTTGAGTTCTTTCTCTTTGTTATTGTTAAATTATGATGAAGTTTAGTCAATTGTTCAACTTTGTTGCTTCATATATCCCTATGAATACTCTAGTATTGTATGATGTATAATCTCCATACTTTTGATAACATCCGTGGATTCATGAAATCTAGAATGATTTGGTTCTTAATATACAATTTACTGAAGTGCATTTGTTCCTGGAAACTGTCAATAGTCAGGATGGCAAATTTAGCTATGGATATGCGAGCTGCCCAGGAAAACGATCATCAATGGAAGATTTCTATGAAACTAGGATTGATGGTATAGATGGAGAGGTTATTGGCCTATTTGGAGTTTTTGATGGTATATATATCTCTTCATTTATCTCTCATGTTACTGGAAAATACATACCCAATTGCTGGAATAAAAATTAATTTCAGTATTTTGCCTGATCAAATTTGTTTGAACATGTGCATTGATTTACAATGCTCTTGATGTTTCTACATTTCCCCTGTCTTTAGTAGTCATATACCCCTCTCCAATGAAATGAAACTAATCTTCGCAGTGACTATGATTCAATATATTACGGAGTACTACTTTGTACAGCGGAGTACTAATGTTGAGTCATGTTTATGTTGGCTGCTGCTAAAGTGAAATGAGAAAGTATTTTGGGTGGTAAAAGTGGGGCAATTCTGCAATGGCATGCACACACAAAGGTTTTGAAAGGCACAATTTTGTCTCAAGGCATAAGCCTCAATTAAAAAAATAAAATACTTAATAATTATCATTGTTATAATAAATTTTTATTATTATTATTAATATTATTATTATTATTATTATTATTATTATTATTATTATTATAAATAGGGTAAAATTGATCATTCATTAGATAGTTCAATGGCATAAACACCTGACGCGTTGAAATAAAAACACATAGTCTAGTCTTATAAAGGACTATACTTATCACCGCGCAGAGTTGAGGCGCGACGCCATTGAATTGCCAGGACACCTAATTGACGCCTAGGCAACTAGTCTTAAATGATAAGTATACTAATATAATAATATTAATACAAATATACCCTAGTTAATATACGATATTGTTAATCATGAGGTACAAACTTGATACTCAACATACTTAATATCCATTTGAATCAAAACAAGGTACAATACTTATTACTTTTGTCCTTGGATCCAGACCCTCTTTTAACAAAAACACGTGTAATAATATTTATTGTAAGTCTTAACTATTTATTTACTTAATTGAAAAATAAAAATAAAAACTGATTAACCTAGAGTTGGGTTGAGGAGTATAGACAAGGAGCACTTGGTCCAATTTACACAGGATTTAGGGAACTAGGCACATGACTTCAAGGTTTCAATGAAATGAAAAAACAGGGGAAAAAGAACGAGAATGAACTACAACTGAATCGTGAAGCAACCAAGCGGTACACTTTTCCCTTGCTTCTCAGCAGATCGGATCACACCTAACCCTCTGTATATCTTCCATGGTTGGATCGCAGCTAGATCCGACAATCCTATGCTCTAGAAAACCATGGAAAGAACTCACTTGTGTGTCGCTTGGATGCCAAGTCCTCGTCTATATGACGCTGGACAAAGCCAACTTCGTTTATTGTGAGGCGAATGATATTGGTGAGCATCTCCCGCCGCTGGGATGCCTAGTTGGCACCTAGATGTGGCATTGGTAACTATGTGAAGGACAAAATAGTAAAGCTCCATTTGACATCAGCTTTAGCATTAAGCTTCAGCTTTTTCTACAAGCTATCAAACCATGCTTTTAGTATTAACATTTTCAAAGGTAATCTACACCATAAAAAAGTAAAATGCTAATGCTAATCACTAATGTTGTTCCCAAACGAAGCCTGAGTCAATCGGACATGAGAGGATATAATATGATTAAGGCGTTAGAACATAATTATGTAAATACTTGTCATCCACGGGTAATGGCATCATTATATAAATTTGTAACTTCGTCGTCATTTCAATCTCCTTCCTATGCACTGGCCTCATTATCTTCATCTATGCTCCTTACAAAGCAACCTAGAAAGAACAGATGGGTGAAAGAGAGTGAAGATGAGATTAATTGTGTGTTTAACCCATAAGCTTGTAAGCCTCAACACCTGTGTGCGGTGCGCCTTGGACACCTTAAGGTGCGAGCCCCATATAAGTTGACTAGGGATTAGACCTTATGGGTGTTTTATTCGCACCTTAACACTCAGAGGAGTAAGCCTCATGCCGCTTTTAAAACCTATGTGAGTTGTAGTCGTAGTCCAAATTATGATGGTTAGGTAAAGATATAATAATACAGTGCTGTAAAATGAAGAATAGGATATCATGACTAACAGCTAGCAACAGTTGTGATTTTTAGTAGGAGACAAATTCTAGAGGATTAAATTCCGTTCTAGTGCACAAGAGTATGGAATAATGGAACTGTTAATAGTGGGATATTTTACAACTAGGTATATATGATACTCTGTATAACAATGGACATGTTCTTTCGACACTATTTTCACTGTTAAGTTGTTTCCGAATGCATTTATATCCCATGTGCTTTCCAGCAAGAATGTGTTTAATGCAAGCACATCACTATGGCACTCTGCAAAATATTCATTGTTTATGCCACCCAGAAAGTGGTGTTCAGATTACTGTATATCATCTATTTGTAGAGATCACATAAGAATGCACGTGTGCTCTTTATGTGACTTTGATCGCACACACATAACAACTTTCAAGTCAGAATTTTTTTCCCACTTTGTATTCAACTTAAAATCGTCATATGGTTTCACTTAGCTCTCTGTTTACATTTCCTCTTTATTTAGGTCATGGAGGTGCTCGAGCTGCAGAGTATGTTAAGCAAAACCTTTTCAGCAATTTGATTAAACATCCAAATTTTATCTCTGATACCAAATCAGCAATAGGTACGCTGCTCACAAAAGTAGCAGAATCTTGGCTACCTTAATGTAACTTCACAATGCTTATATACATCCCAATGATCCCTTTTTGGTTCTGCAGCTGATGCATATAGCCATACGGACTCTGAATTTCTGAAATCAGAAAACAGTCAAAATAAAGATGCTGGATCAACTGCTTCTACTGCCATTCTCGTTGGCGACCGTTTACTGGTTGCTAATGTTGGGGATTCTAGAGCTGTCATTTGCCGTGGTGGGCATGGTGAGATTTGAAAAATCTTCCATACCCTAACACCCCCATTCATTGTGGTGCTGTATGAGTTAAACCATTGTTCCTTGATTGCAAGCCCCATTGGCGTTGTAGTTTCATCACTAATATTTTTCTCGACCATTTCTGAGGAGTTGGGTATGTGAACATGGAAGTGCATGTTCATCTACATTTTTAATTGGCCAATTCCTTTGTACACTGAATTGTGCAGTAGCAATGCAGTTGGTAAAATTACATAATTGTTGGGTTATGGTTTGTAATTTATTATGAATGATGGTTCAATATGGAGGGGTATGGTCTGCGTATGCACCCTCCCCATACCCTACCTTTGGTGGGATTTTACTGCGTTTGTTGTTGTTAGCCATAATATCGAATAGCCATCCTGATCAAACATGCTTCTATTGCTTGCAGCTATTGCTGTTTCTCGTGACCACAAGCCAGATCAGAAGGATGAGCGACAACGTATTGAAGAGGCTGGAGGATTTGTCATGTGGGCAGGTTGGTCTATCTCATGAACTATCCGATCTCGTTATGGGTTGGCTCATGGAGATATTTCATTCTAAAGTTGAACTATATTTTTTTGTGTGTAAATGCTTTGCGCAGGTACCTGGCGAGTTGGAGGTGTACTTGCTGTTTCCCGAGCATTTGGTGATAGGCTTTTGAAACAGTACGTTGTTGCTGATCCAGAAATCAAGGTATTGATTGCTGTGAACCTTCATTGTCTATCAAATATGCAAGGAGTATAAATAGTAGATTTTAAGTGACATTTTAATTCCCCTCATAGTATGCCCATTTATTTAGATGTGTTTATGTACTTCCTCGGTTCCAAATTAGTTGCAACATTAGAATTTTCACACTTGCCAATGCACAAAATAAGTCATTTTTCAATTGTGATTTAGTTAAAAAACACTCCCTATTTTTTTGAGACGGGTCCAACATTGGTTGTTCTTTTTCTATATTCTGCTAAGAGCTATAAACCGATCTTTTTTGTCTTGTACGATATGCTTTTATATCAGGAGGAAAGGGTTGACAGTTCACTTGAATTCCTTATCCTTGCAAGTGATGGCCTATGGGATGTAGTGACAAATGAGGTCTGCAATTTTTATAATTAGTTCATTTCAAATTTTACCAAAAAGGATTCGGTGCCAATTGATGGCCCCGAAATTAGTCAGCGCTATAATTTCTTTTTATTTTTTTTAAACATGGAATTATGAAAAATGCAGGAAGCAGTGTCGATGGTGAAGCCAATAAAGGAGCCGGAGGAAGGGGCAAAGAGGCTGATGCAGGAAGCATACGAGAGAGGCAGTTCCGATAACATCACCATTGTCATCGTCCGTTTCCTTGCTAATGACCTTTCCTCCTCCTCTTCTTCTTCTTCTCAGGATGCTAGCAGTACTGCTGCCCTCTCTGGTCAATGAATCAACAAAAACAACAGTGGTGATCTCATCTGATGATATTCTTCTTTCAGGCAAGGACTAATTTCATTTGTAAATGAACATATATACTACAAATATATATATAGGATGCGAAATCAAAACAAAAAAAACAAAAAAAATCAAAAAACAAACAAACAAGACTTGACAGGGGAGTGACCACCAAGCTCATCATCATCATCAGCGATTATTTGTTGTATGATTAATTTTAATTTGTGTTGTTATAGCCCGTGATTCGTTTGCGTTACGTTAATTGTAATTTCATTTCATTAGATTTTAGAATTGGCGGCAAACTTGGCCACGGTTCGTTCTATGTTCTGTAACTTCTGTTTCTTATGCACCTTGTTTGTTCATTTTCCCGGCCTCTTTACATATATTCCGAATTATTGTTTTAGCTTGATTTTTGTGGTCAAATTTTGGGACGGAAGGGGTTTATATTAATTAACTCAAAAGATAAAGTTAGGTTCCAGACCGGAGTATATAATATGAATTGTATCCATTATTAATTTCAAGTCCAAAAGCATTAGATCCAGTCTATATGGTTTTAGATTCATGAGTTTTATTTTTCCAATATTTAGTTTTTAATTATTTTATTTCAGTTTATTTTTTTTTTATGGTAGTTATAAATTTGAATAAGTTAGAAGTTAAGTTTTGATGAACTTGTTACTACTTACAAGTACTATTTTTATTAAATATTTTGAAGCTTCTTATTTCTATTTTTTTCATATTTATTTAATAACTTAATTCATTTATAAGATTGCAAAAAGGTATAAAAAAAATTCAGGTCTAAAGTAGGGTGACCCGGACCAAACCGGAAAAAATAGGTTTGGATCGGTTTGGACCGGAAAATAACAGGTCCAGTCTTGGGTCCTAGAAAAATTACAATTCTGGTTCTGGTCCAGTCCAATTTTAGAATGGTGCACACCCCTAGATTCATCTAATCTCTACAACACCTCTAATCCGTTCATCTCCAATCCTTTCTGGGCAACATCTCGTTCTATGCATGTCTTCATCTCCATCAGAGCTAGGCATGGAAGTTGTTCGTGGAATGTCGCTGGTGAAGGGGAAGCCAACCATCGCCTAGGGCTAGGTCGTCGCCGCTCTAAGAGGCCATATGAGCGTGCGTTTCTTCTCCCCATGCTTCCATCTTCTTTGAAATTGAGTCCGGTTGTACGGGAAGAACCGTAGATTTGAAGGTACAATAGATCTTGCGGTGTTAATAAGAGAAAAACTAAATCTTAACTATGGGATTAATGATGTACCATCATTCATATTTTCAAAATTTTGTGTTTTACTTTTTCATACTCCCTCCATACTAAAAAAATTTACACTTTTTGAATGACTTGCAAGCTCTCGTAATTTTTAAAATAGTTTATTTTTAAATTGGTGTATAAATAAAAAGTGCAAACTACATCTAAAGTTCTATAAAACAAGAATTGACACGAATGTTTAATTTTATCGAATAATGAATGAAAATATATAAACAAATACTCCGTAAAAACTATTTAATTATAGAAAAACTGTAATAATAACAATGTAAATCATTTTAGAACGGAAGGAGTATTATAAAATTAGGGCAACATTTGTTTTCTTTTTTTTTTTTAACATAAAAAAATCTGAAGACAAATGAGTCGTGCCGTGCGTGCAGAGGAGGGGTAACCATTTGTAAGCAATGTTCCCCCAGTTGGCCTTTCAAAGAGACAAATCCACGGCCCTCACACAGTAATGCATTAGCTCTGCATTAATAATGGACCCCTTTGGTAGATATCCCCTTTATTTCTAGGGGAAAAAACTTTTAATTAATTTATTATGTTCACAAGTTGGTCTTTGAATAAGATTTTTTTAAAAAAATAAATAAATGAAATCCCTTTACCTTCCACCTATGCATATGTGAAAATAATTGAAAGGAAAAGAAATGTTTTAAAAATCAGACCACATGTCCACTTGGACGAACCAGTAGGTGAAGAGGTAATTGGTTGAACTGTTCAATTCAATTGACCACTAAGCTATAATTAAAATAAAAATGTCTTATATTATATTATATTCCTCATAAACTAACTATTATGGTTTATAATATTTGACTGAAATTATTTTTAATTCAATTTATATGAGAATTGAGGTGGAATTAATAACTAAAATTCACATATTCATTTAAAACTACATCAAAAAATTTAAAAAACAAGAGATGATATGATTATATTATTTTAGTAAATGAGTAACGAAAATAAGTTCAGAAAGTTAGTGGAGTTTCATCGTGTAAATAACAAACAAGTTTAGTTTGGGACGGAGAGTTGATATTTTTAATTAATAAAAGTATTTTAATTTGTATTCTTTCATTTCACCATCTAATTATTTATGTCGTTGTGCATACTTTTTGTTGATTTATTATTAATCCAACTCAACTGAATAATTGTATACATGGGTGTTTATATAGGTGAGGATCCCTACATGAATTAGGATTCACCAAATATGTAAACTAACATAAATAACACTTTTACAATAACTAGACTTCTTGCCTATATGTCTAACATCAACCCTCAAGCTGAACGTCGTGAAACAAGAGGAAGCTTGGCAACTAGTGCTGAGTAGCGTGGTGAAGAGAGAGCCTTTGTGAGAAGATCTACCAACTGCTCGCTGGAAGGAACATAGGAGACTGTCATTTTTTCTGCAATTACCTGTTCTCGTACAAAGTGACAATCAGTGCCGACATGCTTCATGCGTTTATGGAACACTGGAGTCTTGGTTAGGCAGATGGTGGACTGGTTGTCGTAGAGGAGGTGCGGAGGAGGTAGCTTAATCTGCAAAATGTCAAACAAATAGGTGATCCACATCACCTCAGCTGCTGCGGCCGAGAGGGCCGTGTACTCGGCCTCGGTGGATGAGCGGGAGACACGACTCTATTTTTCCGTACTTCAAGAGATTAGATTAGGCCCAAGATATATCAAGTAACCTGTAACAGAGCGTCCATTATCATTGGCCCAGTCTGAATCAGAATATGCATGGATGGTTTGTGAGCCACTCCGGAACACCGGACCATGGTCAATGGTTCCTTTGACATAGCGTAGGATGCGTTTCAAAGACTGAAAATCCTGTTCTGTAGGTGCATGCATCCTTTGACAAACATAGTTGACAGCAAACTGAATGTCTGGGTGCGTATTTGTCAAGTATTGGAGAGAGCCAACCAAGCTGCGGAAGAAAGTGGGATTCTCGAATGGGCGGCTTACCCCCTCCTCGGGCTGCCGTACGGGAAGAGGCGTGGGTGCCGGTTTGCAATCTTCGACTCCTGCTTTATGGAGTAGTTCACGGGCATATTTTTCTTGGGAGAGAACCAGATGGCCATGTCTGCGTGTCACCTCAAGCCCAAGAAAGTAATGAAGAGGACCAAGATTCTTCATTTGAAACTCCTTTTGCATAGCTTAGATGAATGAGGAAATAAGAGAAGAGGCACTCCCAGTGACAATAATATCATCAACATAGAGAAGAACAATGAGAACGCCGGAGGGAGAGTGCTTGACAAAAAAGCTTGTGTCATGTTCATTCTTTCCAAAACCATATTCAACAAGAAACCCAGAGAGACGTTGATACCAAGCCCGTGGCGCCTGTTTCAGCCCATAAAGTGATTTCTTCAGTTTGCACACATATTGAGGATAATGCTGATCAATATACCCTGGAGGTTGCTTCATATAAATTTCATCAGGAATGACACCGTGAAGAAAAGCATTGGATACATCCAATTAGTGAAGGGGCCAATTGTGAGTGACGGCTAGAGAGAGAACCACCCGAATAGTCTGCTGCTTGACTACAGGGCTAAAAGTCTCAGAGTAGTCTAAACCATATTCCTGTGTATAGCCTTTGGCCACAAGACGGGCCTTGTACCTGGAAACAGAACCATCAGAATTATGCTTAATTTTATAAATCCACTTACATCCAATAGGAACCCGATCTGGAGGTGCCGGAACAAGCTCCCATGTGTGCTGATCAAGCAGGGATTTATACTCGTCATCCATAGCCTGACACCAATAACTGCTTTGAGAGGCTTCTTTATAGGTAACAGGCTCGGTGGTAGGTGGGGAAGAGGTGAAGGAGGTGGAGTAGAGTTTGGGTTTGAAGATGCCACTTCGTGCACGAGTGTTCATCGGGTGCCGGATGGGTGGGGGAGGGGGAGAGAGGATAGAAGAGGACTCGGGACTTGTCATGGTTGGGGAGAGGGTGCCAAATTGGATAGGTGTGGGTGATGAGTGGGGCGGGGTTTACTATTTCGGGCTGGGGAATTGAATAGGCAGTGGGTGGGCTTGTCGGTTTTTGAGAAGGGGAGGGGCTGGAACGGGTTTCGGGATGGGTTGGGGTAGCCTTATGAGCATGTGGCGGAGTACACGGTGACGCCATAGGAAAAATGGGAAGAACACCATGGAATAGCGGGGAAGAAGGTGGAGACCCTGTATGTGGAGAGACGGTGGAGTATGGGAATTGACTCTCTTGAAATTGGACATGACGAGAAATGTATATGCGACCTGTGGTGAGATCGAAACAGCGATACCCCTTAGAAGAGGAATCATACCCAAGGAAGACACACGGTTTGGATCGGGGTTGGAATTTATTGGTGATTTCATGTCGTAGACACAGGTAGGCTAAGCAGCCAAACACACGGAGAAGGTTGTAGTCAGGAGATTTTTGAAACAGAAACTCAAAGGGAGATTTGTGATTAAGGGACCTTTTTGGCATTCGATTTATCAGGAAATTTGCAGTAGCCAATGCTTCAAACCAAAATTTGGCTGGGAGATTGGCAGTGCAAAGGAGTGTGACAAGAGTTTCTACCAAGTGATGATGCTTGCGTTCAGCAACACCATTTTGTTCAGGGGTGTATGGACATGATTTTTGGTGAAGAATCCCTAAGTTTTGTAAAAACAGCCCAAACTTTTTATTAACATACTCACGGCCATTATCTGTGCGAAAAAGTTTAAGGTGCGCATTGAACTGAGTACGAACCATGGATTGAAAACTTTGGAAAGCATCAAAAGCATTAGATTTATTTTTGAGAGGGTACAACCAACAGAACTTTGTATAATCATCAATAAAATTAATGTAAAAATGGTATCCCCCAAAGGAGGGTACAGAGGTAGGTCCCCATACATCAGAATGAATAAGTTCAAATGGAGCAGATGTTTTGGTGTCATACACGGGAAAGGGGAGTTTATGGGACTTGGCAAGAGAACAAGAATTACAATGATCTAGATGCTGATATTTAAAACCTAATTGAGACAATAAAGACTGAGTAACTTGAACTGAAGGATGACCAAGACGGCAGTGCCATTGATAGGGAGTGACTTTGACGGAGTTGACCACCAGAGACGAACTGGACGCCGGTATGGAGTACAAGCCACGCTCACAAGGGCCCTTGAAAAGAACTTGATTGGTTAGGTTGTCCTGAATCGTAAAATCCTTAGAGGTAAAGAAAAGAGAGCAGTTATTATCTTTAGTAAATTGATGAACAGAAAGGAGATGGGAATTAATGTGAGGAGAATGAAGGAGGTTGGTGAGGTGAAAATTATGGTGTGGTGTGGTTAATATACCTGAGCCTATATGGTCAATAGGATAGGTGGTACCTCCTGCAGTTGTGATGGAGTTGGTGCCATGATACGGTGACAGAGAGTGTAGCCGAGCCAGATCAGATGTAACATGAGTGTTTGCGCCAGTGTCCAGATGCCAGTTCGAACTAGATTCGGTGGACTGAGTTGCATAGTACGCCTGTGGGGGGCCAGTATATGATTCGTCGTAGCAGTGCCAACAATTCTAGACCCCATGGCCAGGCTTCCCACAAAGTTGGCACGTGACGGACACTCCACGACCACCTCCTTTGCCGCGTGTGTCGTCGCGGTACAGCGGCTGCCTGCCGCTTCTGCCACCGGTCTGACTGCCGCGGTAAGACCCTCCTCGGCCTCGCGGTGGTCCACATCCATGGCGCCTACCATTGCCTCGTCCGGTATTAGTGAAAAGTGCACTATGGATGTCAACGGACGAAGTAGAGCCAGAGTCACCCAGAGATAATTTTTTTTCAAAAGATAAGTTCAATTCTTCAGACAGCAACCAAGAAGAGACCTGATTAAAAGTGATTGTGGCAATGTTGGTGCGAATATTTTGCTTGAGGGAGGCGTAGTCCGCCGGTAGACCTCGAAGAACACACAGAATAATATCTTGTTCGGAGATTTCTTCATGAGCCAATTTGAGAGACGACACAATGGTGAGAACAGTGTCCAAATATGTTTGCATCGAATCGGTCCCCTTAGTAACACCATGTAAACGAAAAATATGAGTCCGTGAAAGAGAATTGTACCGTTGCTCGAGATGATTCTAGATTGCAGCCACGGTGGGAAGAGCGTGAATATGGGTTTGAACTGTGGGTGAGACAATAGCAAGGAGACAGGCTCGAATCTGAGCGTCAACAATATGCCATGATTCATAGGCTGAATTTGGCTTCATAACCGGGGGTTCATCCTTCCCCGGTGCCGCAGCCTTCTCATCGAGAATAAGAGGCAGAGGAGATGGTTCAGATCCATCCACATAGCTGAGAAGACGATGAGCAAGGAGATTTGCACGGACGGTGGCCGACCAAGAGGGATAATTGGTGTCATCAAGCTTGACCGGGGTTAGGGATTGAAGATTCCGGACAAACAACTTGAGACCCGTAGGAAGATTATCCATTAGATCAGAGGATACAGGGGCCATGGCTGTGCACGGCTCGAACAGAAGAGAAGAAATCGGCAGTGTCGATTTTTTTTCGGTGATTAACGCAGTAGAGAAGAGAGACACGGATCTTTGTGCTCTGATACCATGTTGATTTATTAATCCAACTCAACTGAATAATTGTATACATGGGTGTTTATATAGGTGAGGATCCCTACATGAATTAGGATTCATCAAATATGTAAACTAACATAAATAACACTTCTACTATAACTAGACTTCTTGCCATATATGTCTAACACTTTTGAATCTTTCTAGTTTCTACTTTATTATTTCTATTATATAAAAAACCATTAGACCCCAGTTGGACTTAGTTCATGACACATTTAATGTGTCATGTGATATCAACTCACATCTCAGAGTGGATCATTTCAGATCAACATGGTAGAATTGATAGAGCTTTTCAGAGAGTGCCCTAGTTACAAGAACAACGTGTAACACATAAACATTGCTTGCGGCACCACATGAGAACTTTTTAGAAAAGATTTAGAGGGTGTTTTTGAGCAGGATGAGTCTTGAATAAACGGATGGGCTCAATCAGAAGTAGAAAGCAGTTACTCCAAGCTTGGGTGAAAATCATTTTTAGAGCACAATTTACACATTCGAAATCACAATCCATAATCGAAAGCTGATTGGAAAACACTTAAAATTGTATTTCAATGAAGTAGAAGCTCAAAATCTATTGTCAATCACACTCCCAAACACTCTCTTAATAGCAAGAAGCTGAAGGGTCTAATCCATGGCGCCGCCAGAACACCCGATATTAATGAGTTCCACCAAACGCTACATGAAATTGCATCAAGGCATCGTGAGGCATACAAATGGTAATGGCCTTACTAAACAAAATATTGGCACTATCCTATGAAGGTGGGGCATGGTATAAAATTATTACTACTAATTTTTCGGAAAGCTTTAACATTGAAATATCCAAATCTGATTAGAGCGGGACAGATCTAAAATCAAATCAGGACTTTGATATCTCTCACACACGCATAAGTAGATGATGTAGAGGTTGTTACATCAACCACTAGACAAAATGGTGTAATATAAAAAGGTAAAGAATGACATCAAATATGTTTACGTAGTTTGAAGAAACTCTCCTACTCTACAGGGCTTCGTGTAATAGCCCTCTACTAAATTATTAGATGTAGGGGTGGGTGCAGTCTGTGATGGTCCATGATACTATCAGAACCTATCACGGACCGCTCTTATTTAAACTGTTCGGTATCAGTACGGTATGAATCCTAAAATCATTCGGTATCATTCTGTTTGAAAACGCATGGTACAATACCATACACATACTTAAATCGTACCAAAAAATATGAACATGCATCACTCAAAAAATACTAAAATAAAAGCATAGTTTTATATACAAAAGCATAGCTTTGTTAAATAGAAGTATTAATTTCGAATTTAAAAAGATCATAAATATAAATAATAAAAGATAACAAGTTCAAATTTTAAAAATAGATTTTTTTTCAATTCATACAATATCAGACTATGAATAACTCAAAAAAATAATGGTTATAGTAGCAATAAATATAAATCTACAATATTAATGAAAGAACTTTACAAATGAATAATACCATACAAAGTATGCCATATACGGTAAGATAAAGTGGACAAATAATTATTTGAGATACTCCTTATATAGCTTTGATCAGTTTGATCCGTGATAATCAGTTTAAAATATTTGTATCACGGTCATGTCCTATTTGATATCGGTTTGGTTTGGGTTTGCAATGAAAAAATTAATCCTACTTAAAAATATTATAAACGGTTCGGTACCATTACGGTTCGGTATGGTATCATGCTAGTTCAATTTTTTTGCCCGAAGCCTCGGCTACATGCTAGTTTGGTTTTTTTGCCCGAAGCCTCGGCTACAGCGGAATATAATAACATGATGAGATATATTTCTCCAAATTGGTTTTATATGCTTTGTAGGTATTTTGAAGTCATTTGGATGCATTGAGAATAATTGCAAGAATGGAAAATGAACATGGAAGTTTGGGACAAAAATAAATGGAAGAGATTTGAAGAAAGAAAGAAATAAATGGAAAAAAGTACAAAAACACAAAAGTACGAAAGTTGGGACTCAAACTCCAAACCTTGGAGTACACAGGCAAGGATCAAAACACACACCAATCGTTCCACTTTGTATTTGTTGACCCTTCTTAGGAATTATATATATCCTTAAACAATCGGCTCAAGAGTAAAGAAGAAAAAAAGACAAAACACCGACAATGCATGAGGAATCAAACACGGGATCAAGCGGCGGAGACAAACAGCCTCATTGTTGAGACTGTTCGTATATACTCTGTATATACAAAATTTATCTATAAAAATCCCTCCCTTCTCTTCTTCAAAAGGGTTTCATATATTCAACTTCCCACCACCTTGGCTGAACCACTCTTGTGGCATTGTTTGCATAAAATAGTGTTATTATAAAACACATTTCTCAGTTAAAAAAATAAAATTTAAAAATGATTAATTTTATAACTACGATTTAAACTTTTAAGTACTCCATATTCTACAAATACAGAGTACATAACAAAGAAATATATCTAATTTAAATAAGTTTTGAAAATATTGGACATATTATTGAACAAATAAATATCCTATTTTAAAATTTTTTAATGTGATTTTTAAATATTTCATAGATAATTTTATCAACTTAATACTACAATTCAAATTAATGAAATTGGTTATAACTTTAGTCATTTATCACAAATAACTTATTTTTAGATGGAGCAAATATTTTTTATTTTATATATATAGACACACACACACACACACATATATATATAGATTTTGGTTCTGGTGAGAATGCAATCTTAGGAGAGAAATGAGAATGAATCTGGTGCTTTAGATTGTGAGATCTAAGGGTCAAGATTTCATCAAAATTAGATGCACCAAAATTGTGCGAAAATGCATCACGTCGAAATGCACCATAAACCTTCGAAAATGCACTATCTCAAAATCTGAGCGTAGGATGCAATCTGAGCCGCACGATGCATCAGATCCGACGGCTAGATTTTATTCTCATTTCTCTCCACAAGGTGCATTCTCACGGGAACCAGCCCCTATATATAAACACACACACACATACATACATATATATATAAACACACACACACACACACACACACACACACACATATATATATATATATAATTTTCAAAAGTGTTTGAACCACTAGTTCAACCATTCGAACCACTGGTTCGACCAGTGAACCAGTAACTTGATCGGTTCGATCGCCGATTTGGTTCTGAAAACTATGATCTCACCACTTTCTTCCTCCAAACACATAAAAACACTCCAACTTCATCATCATCAACACCATCTATTACATTTGGAGCTTAAGAACACATCTTCCATATTGTAAGATTTTTATGATTATAATAAATATTTATTTGTTTAAGTTTCAAACTATGAACTTCTCCATTGGGGTTAGAAGTTGGTGTAATTAATTGTCCATCTTAATGTTTCAAATATTTTTCGTGTACATTGTTTGACACGCAAAATATTTTTTAGACTCATTTTCTACACCATAAATTCCTTCAAATATTCAAATTTAAATTTGAATATATTTGAATCATTTCGGAGCCTTCTCACTTCATTTCAATGTCCCAAACAAACCACAAACTCCCAAAACACCTTCCCACTCGCACACATGCCTTGGGTCCTTCATGTTTGGGCATTATTCTTCAGTGGATCGATCCCTGGAGTTGGATCGATCACACGAAACTTAGCTCAAAAATCCTTCATAACTTTTGAAGTCAATATGATTGATCATATGGCATGGATCGATCATCTGAGCTAAATTTATCAAAAATATTTTATTTCTTTCCCCAACGGATATATTCTTTCAACCCATATTTAATCACCATTTCTTGGTGATTTTTTGAATGAACAAGCACTCCTAGACTCCCCTATTTTGAGGTTATAATCCTCCATTCAATTCTGTCTCAAATTCATATATTTTGAGAGAAAACTCATACTTAAATGGATGTTCCAAAAGTCTAATGCAACTTCAATTAAAAAATGGAATGGCCACATTCGAGATCTGAATTAGTGCAATCGAATAAAACCGATAACAGGACGGCGTTCATAAATGGGTCGCCCATCTAGCAACTAGTGTCACTCATTAATTTTTGTTCTCGATTTTTGTTTAATTGCGTAATAGTTATTCAATATTTTCTAATCATTAATTCAATACAATACTTATTTTTTTTGTAATTCTTTACTTTGTGTAATGTCCAAATTTTAGTTATAAACTATTCTCTCCATCCCAAAATGTTTTGTACTTTGTGCAAAACAAAGTGAGTTTACAATTTTTTAAAATTCAATTTACATTAAAATTAGTATAAAAATAAAAAATAAAATGGTATATTTAAAAATCAAAACAAAATTAAATTCTTCAAAAAGAGGTGACACATATATTTTATATTACTCCCTCCGTCCCTAAATATTCACAACATTTGCTTTTTCAACAGTCGCGGGAACTTTTGTTTATTTTGGCGTTTTCATTGGTTATTTGATAAAATAAAATATTCTTGACACCTCTTATTTCGAAGAATTTTTCATGTAGTTTTTTTATATGTAAATTTTATTTTTTATTGCTATACCAATATGTAAATAAAATGATTTAAAAAAACTTGATATTTTGCCTCGGAAATACAAATGTGGCAAATAATTTGGGACGGAGGGAGTATCAAATAATCAGTAAAAATGTACAAATGAATAAAAATTCTTGTGATTTATAAATTTTTAAGTATGAAAATATTTCCCGGGCGGTAAGAGGAGTATTGTTTTAAAAACACGGTATTCTAAATAAATTAATACTCGAACGGCACTGACAGCATTGTTTGGACTTTTTTTTGAAAGCTCATTGTTTGGACTTAAATTACTGTAGGAGTAATGAGTAATGTCTAACTTTTGAATATTTAAATAAAATGTAGTAATGCCGAACAACACTTTCATAAATAATTGGATGTAAGACAATATTTGGCATCAACATTAGAGATTAGCGTTGACGTTTTAAAAAAATTATCTGACGATAATCTTTAGCGTTAATATTTACTCCCTCCGTCCTAAATTTAATTTCTCAGTTTGACTTTTGTAGTCAAACTTTTTAAACTTTGACTGTATATTACGGAAAAAATACATTAAATTTTCATATAAATTTATTAACAATAGATTCATTTTGAAATATAGTTTTGAAATATATAATTTTTATAAAATATATGTATATATAAATTGAGATATTGATGGTCAAAGTGTTGCATTGGAGACAGTAAAAAATCAAATGGGAAGTTAATTTTAGGACGGAGGGAGTATAAAATTACGTAGTATACATCATTAAAATTTTATCTTAAATATTAACGCCTAAATCAAAGGTTATCAGACATGCAAAAGAGATATACACAAATTGGAATGAATTTTTCATTTTTTTGAACATATTGGGCAAAGACCCAAAACAAAATTCACTTCATCTAAAACAAAAAACAAAGGTGAAACTCTTAGAACTGTTTAGAAGTGCCAGACAAACACAGTCTATATATTGTCAATGTTAGTCATTTTTTGGTTTGCAGGGTAATGTGACATGTTGACCACCCCAAATTCAAAACCGGCTCCACCCCAACAGAACTAACTTAGACAATCTATCACAAACCATTCCCAATTTGCACAGTAGAAATATACGGAGTGAGAAATGTGAGTAAACAATTTACACCAATACAAACAATTTTTGTTTTTTTTTTTGTTCTTACTTTTACCGTTTCAAAGTGCTACTGAAGAAAATGAATGGAGTATATGAAACCTGTAGATGATGAGAGTATTGAGTATATAGAGAGGTGATCAGAAAATGTCAAGAACTTCAGAGATTGAATTGTTGCAGAGAGGACAACTTCCCCTTTGAACCCATAGCTCTCTCGAGCACCGCCGGCAAAATGTGTGTCCGCAAGGTATAAACGCCGCACCCTTGTGTCTGATCATGCACACGCAACACTGATCTACATTGAACTTTCCTCCTCCGCCGGCGGCGGCGGCGGCGGCGGCAATCTCCTCCTCCGCTTCCCCTTCCTCCTCTTCCAGCAGGTAGCCTGCACCGTCCAGCCCCATTTCCCTGTCAGTCTCCGCAAGCAAAGTCATCAACGACAGTCTTGCCGGCTGGTCCCCTGTTTCTTCGCCGGAGGCTTCCGCTGCCGCTGCCTCGAGTCTTGAGCTTCCTCTACCCACCGCCCGGCTGGAGCTCCGCTGCAGAAGCAGAATCAGAGTGGTTGAATCCGGCGATGTCGTCAGTTCCGGCTGTTGAATCGATTCATGGTTAAATTGCTCCCCCGCCGGCGGAGAGCTATTCTCAGCAGAAACCCGCGCAGGATGGGATTCTTCCGTCGTCCAGCGGTTGCTCTGCCGGAGAGGTATGTCCGAGTCAAGGGCGTGGGGGTCGGGATTGACGCAGGACCAGGCGGACACAGGGATTCTGAGACAGAGCCTATCGGTGATCTGTTTCCAGGTCTTTCGGTTTCCCTTGCTTGCGAAAGGCTCAGCCCGGATGATATCCAGGAGAGTCCGGTGGTTTGGCAGCTCCGCCGTAGCCGACCGTGGCTCTCTTCCCAGCACGGCGCCTAGAGTCAGACCCGCCACACTGTCGCTGCCCCCATTAGCGTTGCTCGCCTCTTTCACTCTGAGAAAGTCTCCTAGGTTTGGAGAATCGAGTATCTGTTCCGCCGTCTCCATCCTTCTCCGGCGAAATCCACCACCGCCGGTGTCCATCAGCAACTGCTGTACCAGAAATCAATCCAAACTGAATCGCAGGAACGAACACAAAAATCAGCCTAAAATTGAAAAAGAAAAAAAACTGTTACATAGGTGAATATTCAGCTGGGATTCAAAATCACTGCGAACTAAAATTCAGAACAGAATAGAGCAGGAAATATCATCGGAAACGCAAATTCATCCTTCGGAATTACAGGATCGAGAGCTCCGATTTCTGGAACCGCGGCGGCTCCGGCGAATTCCACAATCGGAAATATTTGCAAAAATCTAAACAGCTCCAGAGAGAAATTCAACTGAAATTGAACAAGCAAATCTAAAATACAACCAATTGGAGAGATCTACGATGCATTTATGATTCCAGACTTCGCAAAACGGAATTCAAATGGAAGAAAAAACATAAAATCTAATCCAAAAACTCAAATAGAAAAGATCAAACAGAGGGAAGAAGCAAAGTTAGAGACGTACAGGTGAAGGCATGCGATTCAGTTCGCGGCAGAGCAAACAAATCTAAGATCGGATGAAATGAAACCACTATGAGACTTTTTGAGAAAAATTTAAATACTCGGAATTCAAAAATTAAAGGAAAAATAATTATAAAGCAATTCATCAGGACGAAAAAGAAATAAGACTGAAAGGAAAAGCGCGTGTGATGTATACCTTTTTGTCTCACTCTTCTTCCTTTTCCTGCTCCTCAGCTCTGCGTCTTCTTCCAATTTAATTTTTCTGTTCTGAACTATTTTCCTTTGATATTTGTATTACGGAGTATTATTAGCAGTGATATTATCGATTCAAAAACGGTAGACAATTAATTGATCGATTGGAATGGAATGAGTTGAACGGAGTCAACGACCGGATAAACACACTCGGTATTAGGATTTGGTGAGCTAAAGACTCTTTTGAAACTCAGACCGGACCGGTATGTCCACCAAGTGAGCTAAAGAGTTTTGAAACTCAGACCGGACCGGTATGTCCACCAATCAAACTACGACCCGGATGTAAAAATAACAAAATTTGTTATGTCTCCATATGTAGGTGAGATGGTCTTGAGGGAGGTATATTAAGTTCGAGGTCTCAGGAGTGATTTCTCGCAGCGACAATGTAGAAATTTTATCATTTGCGATAGCTCCTTGAGCGCACCGGGAACAAGGCGATCTCTCAAAATACAAACTAAGCTAATACCATGATTCCCTCCTTACTACTTTGTGTTAAAAATTCGCGGTGTGACAATGATGTGTAGCAGCGTTAGATATGATGAGAATAAACACATGACTGCCCGGGTTAACACTCAACTCGGCGGCCGCTAGACGAATGTGCGGTGCTAAGCAAGGATGACCGACTGGTCAAAAGGGGTCCTCCCAAATATGACCAGTGAGGGGGTGATGACATTGGTGGTTGGCTGGTCCGATGAAGATTCGAGGATCAATTAGCAAGGCATGACTTTGCACCGAGTGCGAGGCTCGGAGGAAGGTTGTGTGTGACTGACAAGGTCAGGTGGCAAATGATTAAATGACATGACTATGAGGCCCATAAGGGATGGCTACAATTGACTCGACCTTAGTTGAGCCTCTCTGGCACAAACTACAGTAGACAAGATAGAGGGATTGCTACAGTAAATTGTAATAGTCTCATATCCTTCCCTATAAATAACAATGTGAACCATCTTGCAAGGAGACAATCTGTATATAGAGGGAAGAAAGAGCAAGCCGAGATATACTCTCGTACTCTATGTAAGTAATAACTACCGGGTCGTAGGAGTTCTCACCTACAATCCTTTCGATATTTCGAGACTTCGATAGGTAATTAGTTAATCCACCTTGATGGGTATAACCCACTGGTACCACCCGGCAGGTTGGCAGGCGCCTGGGAGGTACCAAAGTCTGACCAAGCTTGACCTCACCGTCCCCGGTAATCTGACCGGGTGGATGTCGGGGGGTTAGACCGGTAAGCTCGTAACTTAATCCATAGAAGGTTTGAAGACTGCCTGGTTTGAAGACTGGCCGGATGGATGCATTGAGATGAACAGTAGTCATAAAGAGTGATAGACGATAACCCCACGTCAGCCTAGGGCTGACACCGGCTGGGCCCCGCATCCATAGGAAAGAGCCCTAGACTCGTCTCCCAATGTACGAGCTCGGCCTCCAGGCTCGGCTCAGCCTCCAAGCTCGGGTCGGCCTCCAAGCTCGGCTTCTAAGCTCGTCCCTACTGGTATGTCCGCTTCGGCTCGGACCGCATGATAGCGACGGGAGGACAGCGCTCGGGCGATAGCGATGGGATGAAAGGGACAAGACCATGAGAGTCAGGTGACGTCCACTAAGAGACGAATATCGGTGACAGGAGTTTGACTAATTGTATTGTATACTCTATAAAAGGGGCGAAGTCCCCTCATTGTAAAGGATCCGATTTTTGAGTGAATGTACTCCTACTTTGCATTCTCTCTCTCTCTAGACTTTACACAATTAGCTTAATCAAGATCTTCGGTGGTTTATCGCTATCAAATTGGTGCTCTCATTGAGAGGAGAGAAACATACTCGTAGGTTAACTCCCGAGAACGAGAATGGTGCAAACAAGGATCAACATCCCCACCACCAGCCACGTCGCCAGTGAGGAGAACGGCCCATGCAACGGTAACGGCACTGGAGGGATATGATTACCTCAACCCCTGACGCCGTCCAGGCATTATTCGGCATGGGGGTGACTGCGGAATAGCTCCAGGCTGCACAAGGGGAAGAAGACCCGGAGGAGGTGGAGGAGGCTCGGCAAGGCTCCAATGATCGAGGAGATGCTGGTGGAGGACATTCCAGAAGGGGAGGATGACGAGTCCAGCGAGTGCCGAGTATCGACCTTCAAGCGCTTGGGGGCGAGGAGATTCGCGTGTCGGCTTTCGATAGGCTCAACTGGGGACAAGAAGGTCATCCGGGTGACCTTCGCTGACAGATTTTGGGGGCAGGCGAAGGCACGCCGAGGAGTCAGCGACCTCAGACTCACGCTTGGTGAGGCCTGAGCGTACCAATGGCCGACGAGATGAGCGGACTCAGCGTCGCCAGAGTCCCACTAGGACCGAGAAGACAAAGGGCTCGGATCACGGCATGTCCTGTCTCGTGCACGAAATCGCCGAGCTTAAGCGCCGAGTAGAGACAAGGGCACCCTACAGCCAACCCATCTTGAGGACGGTGACCCCGTTCACTTCGAGGGTTATGTCGGTTCCGCTGCCAGCGAACTTTTGGCCGTGGTAAATCAAGGCCTACAGTGGAATGACGGACCCTCGGGACCATCTGTCTAAGTTCTACGCCTCAATGGAGGTGGCGATAGCCCCGGACGAGGTCAAGTGCCGATGTTTCCTCGCAACGCTGGAGGGCTCCGCGTGTGATTGGTTCAACCGACTCCCGAAGAGGACCATTGATGATTGGGACACGCTAGCGGAAAAGTTTCTAACGTACTTTGCGGCCAACGGAAGGCAAAGGCTACCTACTCCCACCTCCTCAACATGTGCATCCACAAAGGAGAGAAGGTCCGAGATTTCATAGTTCGGTGGGAAAAGGAAGCTAGAGATGGACAAGGGGCGGATGACCAAACCTTGATGGCGATGTTCCAAGCAGCCCTACCCCGGGGAGAAGTGAGGAAGGAGCTCCTCAAGAATCCNTGGTAGCACTAAGTTCTTGGCCTCGGAGGAGTTCGATGACGCTCCCAACTCCAAGGCCGCACCAATCAAGCGAGCTCTCGTGGACTCAGAAGAGATCGCAAAGAAGATCAGAGGAGGAAGAAGAAGGACAACACCGTTGGTCCTAGAATGCCTTCGGCCGGAGTCTACTCGGTAGGAGCACCTGTGGGACGGGTCGAGAGCTGGCCCTCTCCCCGCTTCCTCACATGGAGACCTATGCGGTGTCCGGCGATAGCAAGTATTGTGAGTACCACCGCAACATGTATAAATAGGGGGGATCACCATGGTCACCCTCAAGCTAAACTTAGCGCAATACTGTATAGTTCTCGAGTTCTTTTATTAATAATATTATCACGGTCCGCTCCTAAAGCCGGATCGATTGGTGGAAATATTGTCCATCAGTAATATTCTGAATAAATTAAAATTCAGAATATATTGAATACTTTTTCAGGACCGTTTATCTTCCCCGTTCGTCGCAATCCGTACGTAATTTGTAATAAAAAAATAGACAATGATGTCAAAATTCTAAGAGCTAGGTGATTGAGTTTCAAATACGGAGTTTTATAGTTAAGGATGTTTACTGAAAATGCATAATCTGTTCTAAGTTTTATCGATTTCATGTATAATTAGTTTGGAGTCTTATTGATTTTGAATCTTACCAATTTCGAGTTTAATTGGTTTGAATAATATCTAAATATGGATATCTTTTTACGGTTCAAAATAGTTTGGGTATTCGATGCCTATTTGGCATTAGCGTCATAAGTTAGTGTTAGTATTTTATAAAGACTGTCTGAAAGTAATTTTTAGTGTTAGTATTTTCAGAATTAATCTAAGGGAAATTTACATAAATAGCACTAAAACATAATGATTTTTTCTAAATAGCATCACATGTGTTTTTTTCCTAATGTAGCACTTTTAGTCATTATTCAAGTAAATGTTCGCCATCACGCAATATTATGAACATTATTAAGTGCTATTTAAGAAATAAAACAGTTTAAGTACTATTTAGAAAAATGAGTATAGTTTTAGTGCTATTATGTGCAAATATTTCTTAATCTAAATCATTAATATTTGGATATGATATTTTTTCCAAAGTTTCCAAAGGCTGTTCGTTCCCGTTCTATTGATAATTTCAGTTTCCATTTCAGACCACTCAGTTTGGTAATAGCTTCTGGTTCTGTGGTTTTGTGATGTCTAGTGTAGGCTGAGTTAGAAGATGAAGATTGTCCTATGTAAGTAACCCCACCCACCAGCCGTTGTCTCAACCGTCGTAGCGGCAGTGCCATGGCGGCGTCCCTTTCAGCACCCTCTAATCGGTTACCGTCAGCGTTCAACCGCCGACCGGTAACTGCTCCGGCAGCCTATTGTGGTCCCGGATCGGTACACAATAGGAAGCTCTTACCAAGCGTGCACAGGGTTCTGTTAGCGAATCAAGGAAAAGCAGTTTCCATGGAGGTTTCACGGAGAAAAATCGGCGTCCCCAAGAGGAAAGGTGAAGATGCCAGAGAAAGGATAGAGGAAAGAAACCGGAAGATAGCCTCGCAGAAAGCGGTTTCCATAATTTTGAGGAGGGAGGCCATGAAAGCAGTAATTGAGAAGAAGAAGAAAAAGGGAAACCCTAGGAAGCTTTTGCCCAAAGATGTTCTTGAAGCTCTTCACGAACGCGTAACCGCTTTGCGCTGGGAATCCGCTCTTACGGTCTCTTCTTCACTCCTTCCCCATTTTTACTTTCCTGTCACATTCGACCGGCTGAACTTTGATCATCAATTACACTAAAATTAATTACATTGATCATCATTAATGTAATTAATGATCGAAGTTCGTCTAGTTTAATTGATAAAAGTCAAATTGGACAAATACTTTGGGACGCGTGGATTATTGTTCTTAACTTTTTTGTGCAATTTTAGAATTGCAAATTGTATTCACCATTTCTTACAATTGAATTGGCAATAGAGATACTTTGTCCTTCAGGATGTAGTTGTTTACTTGTCAAAATATTTCATTTTTACATTATGTTTGGTTCAAGGAATTAGGAAGAAAAAGAAAAGAAAATGAGTTTCTCTCATTTTCTCACCAAAATGAAAGGAATTTGGTTTTCCCTTCTCTTAGTATATTTTACCTTTTGTTTGGAATCTTTTGCTATTGCTTGTACTTGTTGCTTGTACTTGGTGCTTTATCTGTGTTATACTGTGTTCCCTTCCATATTTTTGTGCAGGTGGAGCCGGGGGTCTATTGGAAACAGCCTCCCTACTTCCGAGTAGGGGCAAGGTCTGCGTACACACACCCACACACCCTCCCTAGACCCTACTGTTGTGGGATTCACCTGGGTTGTTGTTGTTGTTGTTGTATTTTCTTTTCCACCCATTTTTCTTTTCTTTTCCTCTCTAACCAAATAAGAAAAACTGTTTTTCATCTTAATTTCTTTTCTTTTCCCTTTCAAATTCCTTGAACCAAACATAGTGTTAAGGATTCTTTTCAATGAGTTTGTGAACAATGATACTATGGCTTCTAAAGAGCTTTTTATTAACCCATTCTAGTTTGTTTACTAAATAAGAAAAGCAGAGAGCTAATTTTGGACACACATTCTGTTTTTGGTCATGTTGTTAAGCGTTTAAAACACCATTTGATGGTTTGTTTTGAATTCTCTTTCTACGTACAGATCTTTGAACTCCTTCGCGAGCAGCTATGGTACAAGCCAAATGCTGGTGTGTATATCAAACTAATTGTTATGCTTGGAAAATGTAAGCAACCTGAGAAAGCTCAATCCTTGTTTCAGATGATGGTCGATGAAGGATGTGATGTGAATCAAGAAGCCTATACTGCTCTCTTGTCTGCATATAGCCGCAGTGGTCTGTTTGGTGATGCCTTTTCACTCCTTGAACAGATGAAGAGCACGCCTTATTGTCAACCAGACGTCTTCACATATACCGCTCTCATAAAATCGTGCCTGGAAGTTAATGACTTTGGTAAAGTAAGAGATCTTCTTTCAGAAATGGAATGTGAGGGGATCAAGCCCAATACAGCTACATATAATACCCTCATGGACTCTTATGGAAAAGCAAAAAGGTTTGCTTGCTTTAATTCCTTGACAGCATCTCTTTTTTATCGTTCGTTTATTCGTTTATTTTTTATACTCCCTCCGTCCCAGAGTATTTGCCCAGTTTTGACCTTTTGAAATCAATCAGAATCAACCTTCACCTTATAATTAAATAAAAATTCTATGGTATATTAATTAGATAAAACCATATTTTGGGAGTAGTTTACAAGATGAATCTAATAAAATATATTTGTATCAATATCTAATTTCAATTTTATTTTATAAACTAAATAAAATCTATGTCGTTTTATAAAACTAAGATACCATTTATCAAAATTTTCCCCCTTTCACCCATATATCCAACCGTAATCTCACTTAAATTCATTTCTAACAGTTCCAAGATGATATATTCTTTAAGGGTAGTTTAGGTATAGTACTAGTTTTCACAAGATTTCAAAATATTTAATGAATTTAGGTGCTTAACCTGTAAACAACAGCTGTTGTGAAATGGATAGTGTACTTATTGCTCCCCTATTCCTGCCTTGGCAAATGGAAAAACCATCACTGTTTTTCACCCTACATGTTAAGAATTAACACAGGTAGTAATTTACCAAGGCTATTTCTTAGTCTTTATGTAATAGAAATAATTCCTCCGTTCTCAGAAAAGGTTTCACATTTCTTTTTTGTCCCAAAATAAGGTTCGACTTCCCTTTTGAAATGATTGATTATATGGTTAACATCATTTTTCTCTCCTTTGCATAACTCTAAAAAATATTCAATTTCACCTTTCTTAATATCCTTTCCCGGTCAAATGTGGAACTCCAATTCGAGAAGGAGGGAGTATATATCTAAAACGAGTTGTCTAAAAATGACTTATTGAGTTTGAACTCTATGGTAACTTTCCTTAGATTTTCTTTCCATCTGAATTTTCTCTGCCCAACATTATTATGTGGGTCCCGAACGGACCCTAAAGGTTCGCCGAGATGGAATCCGTACTTGTGGAAATGCTTCGGAGGAGAGGCTGTAGTCCCGATTTGTGGACGATGAACTCTGCATTGAGAGCATATGGTGGGAGTGGGCAGATAGAAATGATGGAGAAATGCTACGACAAGTTCCAAAGTTCCGGGATCGACCCCACCATCAAGACCTTCAACATCCTCTTAGACTCCTATGGCAAAACCGGGAACTACGAGAAAATGAGTGCCGTGATGGAATACATGCACAAGTACCACTTCTCATGGACTTTGGTGACATACAATATCGTGCTAGACGCGTATGGGAGGGCCGGAGACTTGAACGGGATGGAGCATCTCTTCCGGCTCATGCGGTCCGAGGGGATCAAACCGGACCGGGTCACGCTTTGTTCTCTGGTCAGAGCCTACGGTCGATCCGGGAAGGGCGAAAGGGTCAAAACGGTTTTGAGGTTCGCCGAGAACTCAGATATCGCCCTTGACGGTGCGTTTTTCAACTGCCTGGTGGGTGCTTATGGGATGGTGGGATGCATTGCTGAGATGAGAGATGTGGTCGGATTTATGGGGCGCAGAGGATTTAAGCCTGATAAGGTGACGTATAGAACCATGATCAAGGCGTGTGCGAGCTGTGGGATGAGTGGTGGCGTGAAGGAGCTCAAGACTCAACTTGCCTCTTTGGGAGGAGGGAGTCAAGGAGGCCGGAAAATGATCAAAGTAAAGGAAGTAACCACAAATAATTAAAAAGGAATGGGAGTATTTGAGTTAAGAGGGCGTTAAAGCTAATGTGGTGCAAACATGGCATAAAGTGAAGGTTTGGAGTTCCTGTTAAAAGCCTGATATTTCCAGTGCCCTTAGCCAATGTAGGACCTTTTTGGGTACATCCTCATCAGTGTTTTATAAAAATTGTTTAATGATAGTATTTGGATTTAGTGTTTTCAAAGTTTATCTTTAACACTAAACATTTATTTAAAACCTAAAACTAATTAAAAACGATGCCCAAACAAGGACATAAATATTTTAGTCTAAACTCCTAAATTTGGATGCGTCTCCGGTTATGTGCTTGGAGCATCCACTATCGAGATACCAAGAGGTACTCGAAGCCTTCAAGCACACCTACAAAAAGATATCAAGGAGACGGTTTAGGTACCCATGTATTGTTGGGTCTTTTTTGGTTAGCATATGTGCGATGTGTGTGCGTATGTTGAAAATGCCTAATTTTGGTGAAGCACATAGGTGCAATGTGACCTATCTTATTGCAATAATGGCAAATAACGTTTGGATTATTCATCCTATATGGTTGAGTGTAATGAGTTCTAGGTTTGCTAGGATGTGCTCTTCTAGTTTGACTGTTTGTCCTAGCATTTTTATTCCCCCTAGCTTTAACAAATGTTGTTTTTTTAGGTTGGTTTTTCTTATATCCAAGTCCTTCACCATTACTAACTTTTTGCTTAAGTATCTTAACTAAGGTGTTTGAAGCATTATTAAACTTTCCCAATTTGCTTTCTAAACTAGCAACTTTAGCTTTTAATGAAGTACAACTAGAGCATGTAGAAGAAGAAGTAGTTGAAGGTTCTTGTGGCCTTTTTCCAAAAGAGATAATTTCTTGTTTAAGTTTATCATTTATATTTTTGAGTTCTTTTACATCATTCGCAAAAATTAGGATTTTTTGTTTAAGTTCATTATTTTCTTTAGAAGCCTTTTTGAACATTCCTACTAAATCTTCTACAATGCAAACAACATCTAATTAAAAACGATGCCCAAACAAGGACAAGGACGTAAGTATTTTATACGGAGTATTATTTTGTCCTAATAAATTTTTATTGTTTTTTTTTCCCTAAAATATACTCCCTCCATCTTTAACTATATGTCTACTTTTAACTTTTTTTTAGTCAAAATTGGCAAATTTTGACAAGAAATTAAATAAATGTGATATTAGATATTTAGCAAAAAATAAATCGATTAGATTTACTTTATAAAATATTTTTAAAATATTATTTTATCACAATTATATAAAATACATTTTCTATTTAATTATTTTATCACATTATTTTAAGAATGATTAATTATGAAATCAAAATTGGACAAATATTCAGGAATGGAGTTATTACTCCGTATTAAACAATGAAAAGCATTTAACGTTTTTCTCCTCCCCGTAACTTCTCAATAGTTCTATTGTGTTGTTAGATTATCTCCTAAATGATTACATCCACTCCTTTCACAGAATCTTGCTAAAATTACTCAAATATCAAATACTCCCTCCGTTCCACAAAACCTTCATCTTTCTTTTTTTTTGTTGCTTTTCACAAAATATTTTCATTTTCTATTAAAAAACGACTTTTAACCCTACTTTTTCATACCCTACATATCACATCATACTTTTTCACTAATAACCAAACTATCACATCTTACTTTTTCCCATCACATCAGGAGCAAAATTGGAAAATCAATCAAAATTACACTTTCCTTATTTTTCTCCAAAGTCAAAACTGGAAGGGTTTTGTGGAACGGAGGAAGTATCTATTAGTGGTTGTAATTAATTTTTTTTTAATGTTTTGCTTCTACTTTAGACTTTTCCCCAAGGAAATAATAAATAAAAAGAATATTCTCAAATTGAGGGAGTAATGAAGTACTCTCTCCGTCTTCTTTATATATATATATATATATATATATATATATATATATATATATATATATATATATATATATATATATATATATATATATATATATATATATATATATATATATATATATATATATATATATATATATATATATATATATATATATATATATATATATATATATATATATATATATATATATATATATGGGCCGGTTCCCGTGAGAATGCACCTTGTGGAGAGAAATGAGAATAAAATCTAGCCGTCGGATCTGATGCATCGTGCGGTTCAGATTGCATCCTGCGGTTCAGATTTATGATGCATTTCAACGTGATGCATTTTCGCACCATTTTGGTGCATCTAATTTTGATGAAATCTTGACCCTTAGATCTCACAATCTAAAGCACCAGATTCATTCTCATTTCTCTCCTAAGATTACATTCTCACCAGAACCAAAATCTATATATATATATATATATATATATATATATATATATATATATATATATATATATATATATATATATATATCTTCTCACATTATTCATAGGGTTGAACTTAATTTTGTTTAATTATTTATACTATTCATTTCAAAAAATAATAAAATCTTGTCACATTTTGTTTTCTAAAATTTTGCATGTATAATTGTATTATTATATACACTTTATTTTAAAATTTTACACATACAATTAGAAAAACTAAATTAAAAATAAAGTAGGTCAAATTTCTTAGAAAATGAATGAGAGACGTTGGGAATATTAAAGAGATTCAAATCCTTAGATAAGCTTTAAATTTATCCAAGAATAGATCAAGCATTGAGAAGTTAAACATGAAACTATAGACTGTAGGGGTGGTGAGTACGAAGAAAAAAGTTGGTAAATTTTGATCATTCATTACATAATGCAAAAGGATGAAAAATACATCGAAAGTCGACCACCAAAGTGAATCGAGCATATAGTACAACACTATACACATCAACCCCAACACAGTAATCAATCACCCAAAATTATCCCTTCTTCACTTTATCCCTTCTTCACTTCTAATACTTCCGTACGTCTTGCACGGCTTAAAACGAGGGGACGACGCCGTACGCCGAAGAGTCCGGGACCACTTCGATCTCGGACCGCTTGGCGAACCTCCCCTTGATCCTCGGCCGAGTCTCGGCGTACGCCTTTCTAGAGGCATACCGTATCGTCTTCTCGAACCTGCGGTTCTTCCTCTTCTCTCTGTACCTCAGAACCCTCGCCTCCCGGTCCACCCCGGACAAGGGGTTGGGGGCGGCATCCGCGGGACCCGGCGCGCGGTTAAGCGGGACATTGGACACGTCCGTCGTGGTGGCGCTGTTGTCCGGCACAACTCCCACCTCCAAAGATGAGGATGATACCTATACAACACCCCAAAGAAATTTTAATTCACACTACTTATCAATGCCACATTTGGATGGAAAAATTGATGTTCATGATCCTATGTCATCAGACTGATCTAGTGAGAACAAATCACGAAAAGTTATCAAAAAATGATCTTTAACATATACTCTCTATCAAAGTTATTTGTTCACTTTGACTTCATGTAGATATAGAAAAGTATTGAAAAGATGTAAAGCATTAAAAGGTGAGCAACTAGAATTTGGTCAAAGGAAAGTAGCATCTTAAACTTCATAATCTTTTCTAGAAAAGATAATGAGAAAACTTAAACTTTGTAGGACGGACGGAGTACAGTATACATACACTCTCACATGTGTGTGGATCCTAGTGTGTGGCCTACCAACATGTGTGAGATGAGTTGTTGCAACTTGGGTGTAATCCGTTTGGCTCCGTTTGGTATACGGAATTGATGTAATTAAAATTGAATTGGAATTGAAATTTCATGGGATTCAATTTCATAGAATTGAATTCATCAATTCCAATTCATATTTTTCACAACCAATTCCAAATTCACATAATTTTTGTACTATCAAACACCAGAATTGGAATTGAAGTCCTCAATTCCAATTCCATAATTGAATTCCGTGTACCAAACGGGGCCTTATGTTTTTTTGACACAGGAATCTAGTGTTATATTATGACACTTGGTCTATTTGGGTATCCAATGATGCTCCGTTCAACCCGAAGTACTTCTTATCCCCAAACTCTACAAACCCCCACCCCAAACCCACTCCCAAATTCGAGTAACAATTTAGAGTCAAACTGAGTTGAGATGGTGGGTTAGGGGAGCAACGGGTTTGTGGAATTAAATGGTATGAAGCACTCGGAATCGAACAGAGCACCGCAAGGTGTACAAATGGATCGAGTGTCATAATATGACACTTATTGGGCTATTGCTAGTGTCGAATGTCCGCCACTGCAAATTTATGCAATTTGGAAAGGAAAATGCTAGGGGTACACCAAAAGTGTACCCCAAACATCCCCACCCCCTCCATCACCACACACAAAAGGCAAGAAAATTTCAAAAAAAAGTAAAAAATAAAAAGAAAATAAAATGAATGGTGTGGATGCAAGTGGTGTACATTTGGGGTACACCTTTGGTGTACCCCTAGCATATCCCATTTGGAAAACATCATTCTTGGCTATGCATTTCACCTCCTTTCGAAATTCGAAGAATGCATTTCACTTTTTAAATTGGATGGTCCACAAAAATAATATGCACCCAAGGTGCACCAAAGAAGCACTCTTCTAGAGTAAGGTACTTTTAGAGTAAAATTACATTGCCTCTATGCTCTATCCCACAATAAAGTTGTAGTCCCCCATAATTCATTGATCATTATGACTTTTGTAGCATATCAAAAGTTGAATGAATATAAATATTACTCCCTCTGGCCTAAAGTTTTTTTCCCAAATACTCCGTACTATTTACACAATTAAACTCTATTTTTTTGCACCGCAAATCATGTGACATTATCCGACAATGTCATAACATAACCCGGGACACCTACAATGCTCTGTTCTAAAAAATGATGGTTCTTACCTCCCCTTAATCCTCCGGTAAACTCCCCACCCCTCCCCGAACCAAACCCACCCCACCCCTGCAATTGCACCCTCCCAATCTATTTGACTTTGAAGTCAAAATCTAGACTCGAAGGCCAAATAAACTTGGAGGATGCAATTAAAGGGGGTGGGGGTTTGGTTCGAGTCGGGCGAGATGCAGATTTGTCAGGGGGAAGGGAGGGTTAGGAGGAATATGAATCGTCAATTTTACTAACAGGACATCGTAGGACCTCCAGGGTAGGGTCATCCATGATATTGATTATCAATATCATGAGAACCGCCTCCTTTTTGTCTATTTTCATTAATTGTTTGATACAAGATAACAAGAATATAGTATATTTACTTGAGAAATTTACCTAAATATGACTAAAACATAATGACTTTTCCAATATAGGACCATATGTTTTTATTTCCCAATGTAGGACCTTTGGTCATTATGAAGTAGTTATTATTCAAGTAAATGTCCATCATTATTGGACATTATTCCTCCCACTAGGTCATTATTAAGTCCTATTTAGGGAATAAAAAAGTTTAAGTCCTACATTAGGAAAGTCATTATGTTTTAGTCCTATTTAGTGCAAATTTCACTATTTACTTTGGTAAAACTTTTGACGCACTCCCTCCGTCCCACATGAAAAATCTTAAGCCTTTTAAATTTATTTTATTCACAAATTGGTGTGGAAATAAAAAAAAATGTAACTTATTAAAAAACTACGTCTAAAGTTCAACCAAACAAGGAGTGATAAAAATAATTTATCATTATTAAATGATCAATATCACACTCAAGTAAACAAAACAAAAGTTAAGGAAAAGCCTTACAGTACTCCGTAATGGTGCAATGGAGCAGTTTTTTAATATGTACAATATAAATTTTACTTATAAATTTTATAATATAGTAAAATAAATTGAATTCTAAAGTCATCATATAAGCAAACTTTGTAAAGTGAATTGAAAAGAAAATTTTAGAACAAAAAGAGTAATATTCTTTCAACTTTTTGCATGAATTCTTTCTAATGTCTCTCAAAAGTCATAATGGTCACCTAATTGTGAGTTTCCCTTGGTTAAATTTTGACCTTTTATTCCTTTTAATTACATTTGGTTGCTGTGATGTGAAATTTGCAGAATAAAACATGCGTGCCTTTCCACTTTTAACCGCAGTACATTTTAGAATGTGGGATTGACTTTAAAGAAATGGAAGAACAAGAAAGGGGACATACGCTTTGGCTGATGGATTGAGAAGCAAAGTTGTACATGAAAGGCTGCTTGGATCCGCCGCCGGCGAAGTCGATTTCATACGCCGGAAATCCATCCACTACTGGGCCGGGTACGAGGGCGGCACAGCTCTTTTTCTGCTCCGGCACCACCCCATCGGTGTCGTAGTGTTGGTGATTGCGGCGGTGGGGCTTCCGATCTCCGCCGCCGGAAATCATTTCCATCTCCAGATACGGATCCACCCCGCCGAAGAAGTATTCCGATTCTTCCAGATCCATTCCTTTGAAATTATTCGGATTTGGGAGGAGCCATGACGCCGCCTCCGCCTCCTCCTCCGTGTCGGGGTTATGGTTGTCCGACTCGTTGCTGAAGTACTTGTTGTCGCCGTCGGAGGAGACGGAGTCAGATCCGCCGCTGTGGGGTTTGACCGCCGACGATGAGTCGTAGAAGGGCACCACCGGGAGCCGCTCGTGGCGGCGGGCCAAGGGGTTCGCGGAGTGGATGTCGCGGTCGCACGTGACGCAGAGCGCGGCGTCGTCGGCCTTGCACGTGACGCTCGCCGGCGCCTGCTCGCACACATCGCAGACCCAGACGCGCGCGTGGCGCGACGCGAGCTTGTTTGCCGCGTGGATCTCGGAGTCGCAGTCCAGGCAGAGGAACGCGGTGTCGGCGCCGCAGAACACGGCGGCCGACGCCGTCTTGCAGGAGTCGCACAGCTTCGCCGTCAAGTTCCAATTCTCAGCTCCCATCTCTTTCTCTCTCCCAATAAAGCCACACGGATAGCTCTTCCTAAAGTGGGAACACCTGTAGACAGTGTAGAGTGATTTTCACTTTTTCATTTAAATATTTTTCCACACCTACAATTAGAGTATTTTTCTATGAAGAGTGACTATTATTACAAGTGACAAATATTCACGTTGAATTAAGTAATTAGTGTTCATTTTTCACGCATTTATTCATTATATTTATACTCCGTAATATTTATTTGTGAATAATTTGGACGCAATGTAATGTTCATTTGTAAATAGTGTAAAATTCAATATGAAGCAACATAGTGTTCACTGGCGGATCCATGCTATGTTTAGGGGGGGCTGCCCCCCAGTCAAATCTAAATTTTAAGTAATTTTATGTGCTAGTATTCATTCTAATTTATCCTTGTACTCATTTAAAGTTTGAACAGTAGATAAAAGATGTTCATTCTTCGATATGTTAGTACTCAATAATTATTGTATAAGTAAATTACAAACTTTCCATGTTGTACAAGAAGTAAGGTAAATCTGATTGTTCCTTATAAATTGTGTTTTTAATATCGGATGTGTCATTACCAAATTCGTATCCGTTTATTTTTTCCGGATTACGGATCTTGACGGATACTAAAAATCAAAATCGTATCTACATCTATCGAATATCGGTCGGATATCAGATATATCCATACCCGTTTCTAATTTTTAAAATCAAATTAAATAATACTTTAATTTTACATTAGATTAAACTCAAATTATTATTAAATCAACTATAATTTGTTATGGGATAATTATTTTCTTCGTTTTCATGTTTTATGATATTCTACGATAACTTCATATGATAAAAAGATATACACAGCATACATATACACATATTTTTATATGTCTGCACATATTTTTATTTGTCTACACATTTATTTTTTATATAAAAATGTCTTATATTTTGAAATATCAATAGAGAAACAAAATACAAACATAAAAAATTAGGAAAAACTATATATTACAGATCGGATATTCAGATAAACGGTTATTTAAACTGATGCATATTCGGATTGGATTTTAAACGGATCAGATATACATTTACCAAATCTGTATCCGTTTAGTAATCGGATACGGATAATATCCGATTGAAACAGATGCGGATATTTCCTCTTTAAACGAATGCAGATGCAGACAGTAATCGGATTTTTAGCTATCCGTTGACAGCTCTACCAAAGATTTGTGTTGGCATTCTGATAGTATACACTAACACAAAATGTTAGTAGATGACATGTTTTTTATTTATAAGTCAGTAGATGACATGTTTCTCTGTGCTTATATGCTGACTTATAAGCTGCTTATAAGTTGGAAAAAATAAGTAGATATTACTTGTTTATTTTTAAGCTAGTTTTTTGTTTCTCTGCTTTGACCAGTTATTTACAAAACTAACTTTCACCATTTATGAATATTCTCAAATAATTTTTTTGTCATTTAAGTCATTTTACTTCCAATAAGAAAATTTTTAGCTTATAAGCAACTTATAAGTCTAAACTAGTTATTAGCAATAAGTCAATAAGAATCAGCACATAGAAATATCTCATTATCTTTTCTTATTTTACAATTTTAAGAATAAAAAATGTGAATATAGCAAAAAGATAAATGAATTTAACATCACTCCGTTTTATATAAAATATACTCCATATTTTCATAACCAAAGTTACACTTTGACTTCACAAATTTGATGATAAATTTTATTGTAATTTTTACTTTTTAGTTTTGTTCATAACATTAATGTTGTGTGTGTGTTTTTTTTTTTGCAATAGTGATATTGTATGCATGGTTGAATAAGCTTGAGGAAGCAGAGGAACTATGTGCAAAATAATTTTCAGATGTAGAAAATTGATTGAAAAGGGTAAGAGTCGGTGGGTTGAAGTTACAACATGCTTGTTTGAGTGGAAAATGTAAGAAAAAAAGTGGAGAGAAAAATACATTGAAATGCAGAAAAGTTGAAAATAAATTGAATAATTAGTTGAATTGGGCCTACCCTTTTTTCCATTCTTAAAGTGGATAGAAAATTTCACTTGCGCTCTATTTTCTGATTGGATCTAATTTGGTTTTTAAAAAAATTTAGTCTGATTAAATTGGATCTTTGAAACTTCCACATAAATAGTGTTTAAAATTGATTAAAGCGCCTTCAATAGTTTCAAATAGCTCTAAAAAGACCATACATTATCTAGGATCTAAATTCACTAGGGTTTTGGATCGTATGTATTTAACGTACATTTGTAAAGATTTATAATAATACCATATTATGCACGGTAACCTGTACATCGGCAGTGTTCAAAATCGATCAAAGCAAATTTAACAGTTTCAAGTAGCTTTAAAAAGATCATACATTGTCTGGGATCTCAACTCACCAAAGTTTGAATCGTATGTACTTAACATATTTTTGTAACAATTTCTGAGCACATTATAGTCTTATTGAACTTTTGAATATGTTTTTATATTTTTAAATTGTACAGAGCACTCTTTATTAGGAAAAAATAATATTGAATAAAAAATGAATCCCAAACACCACAAAGCGATTCCGTCTTCCTAGCCAATACATAAGATTACTTTCCTAGCCAATACATAAGATTACTGAGTACAAAAAAACTACTGAGTACAAAAAATAATATTACTAAGTACTCTTTATTTCTATCTTTTTTGTAAATAAAATTATTTTAAAAATATGCATTTTTACATTTTTTAAAAGAAGACCATAATTTAGTAACAAATAGAGTATTATGAGTATTTTAATAATATTAAGCATTATTTAATCATATGTAATATTATTATTATTTAATTACATATATCACTATAGTATTATCTTCTTCCCAAAATGTTTTGTACATTTACTATTTGAGCTTCCTGATAACTTTTGTTTACTTGTATGTTCTTATTGGTCACTTGATAGAATAAAATATCCTTATTTAATTATTTTGTAAAACTTTTGATGTAATTTTAAAAAACGTAATTTGTTATTTTTATTTTTATATAAAATTATATATAAAAGTAGTATAAAAATAAAGAATTTTAACGTTATTCTATAGTGAAAATGAATTCCGGACAGAGGGAGTAGTACTTATTAGTAAATTTTATGCAATATTATAAAATGTAACATTAATCAATCACATAATAATTATTATGTAGTAATTAAAATTAGAATTATTTTTCAATATTCTTCTAGATTTATATAATTTAATCTAAAAATATCTTGTACAAAACAAGTCCAAAAGATCTTATCTAATTGGTTCTGGTTTGGTCTGATTCGATCTTATATTATATGTAACGTACTGAAACACACCCTAAAATTATTATTGAATTATTATTCAATTAAATAAATTTGTTTTGATTAAAATAAATTATTGTTGGGCTTTGGGCCAAAATAAAATATGTTTTCTTATCCAATGTCACAATCTGTATAAATCTCATAGAGATAAATCCAATATGTTGAATATATTTGTCATCTTTATTGGGAACAAGAGTACAGATCCAAATCAAGATTAATTAAAGAAATTGATTTATGATATGAACTTTTGAGAAATAAATCATGAGAATAAATAATATAAATTAAATGTGATAACCTTTTTGAATAAAGATAAACTAAATCAATTTTGACTCTGTCAAAGTCAAACACTCAAAAATATGATGTCGGAAAAAGTATTACAAATAAATATAATAATCATATCATTGAATAGGGTTTGACTATCCAATCACAATGGTGCAAACAGATTTCAATTCAGAGAAAGTTGGACAAAAAAGTGTACCCCGACTGAGATCAAAATTATTAGGTAAGAGTTGTTTGAATCTTTAATCAGCACAGCCTCCTCAACTATCGCCGACCGTGAATCAGCTATTACACAGCAACTTTGTCACCTTCTTCACCTTCTCCACTATATAAGCATGCCAGAACTTCCTCCATTCTTCATCAATTCCTTAATTCTTTCTTCTATTATGTTCTTTGTTGAGAGAGTGGTGCATCGTTGCTGTCAATTTGACGAGAGGTCGCTAGAGTAAGCCACAATCCTCGTCGAAATTTTCTTAAAACCTTCATTTAAGCCCGAATTAAGTATATTTAGCGATTAGAATGTTTGTATAGATCATTTCTATGTTCATAAACGATTGTTTGGTTGAGTTTTGTGTTTGACATGCTTAAGAACTAAGGATCATGAACCTTGAAATTGTTGTTAAAACTACGAACTAATGATACCAAAATGATCTATGAAGCATGGAGAACATTTCTATATAGTTTAATTGAAGTTTGATGATTAAAAATGAAGTTTTCGAAAATTGGCCTGAGGTTGAAGATGACACTGTTTAAAACTACGCGCAGAACGGTAACAAGCTACCGCCTGGACGCTACCTAGGTACCATCAGAACAGTAGGCCAGCTACCGTCTCCCACTGAAAATACTTCTTCCTCTAGCGGTACCTTATGTGAGGTGGTACCCCGTATCGTCTAGACGGTACCGAGGTACCGTGAACCGGTACTTCTGTACCGTAAACGTAAAGGGTACCGTCCTAACCTGAATATTTTTCAGAAATTGAATTTCTGAACTATTAAATATTATTTTTGATACCAATCAATTATGACGAATACGAAAATGATTTCTGGAAATAAATATGATGTTTGATTACTTCAAGAATCTTGTGTGATGCATGACGGTAAGCTAGGGTGTTAACACTCGATGCTAAACTACTATTTGTTACTTCCTCCGTCCCGCATTTTTGTTTTTATTTTTAAATGATTATTCATGTTTGAGAAAATGTACAAAACAAAAATAAAAGATTTCTGACTTTTACTAAACACCTGAAAAATAAAATAATTTTGAGAAAGTAACTCATTTTCACAAGTCACTTTAAGATCTAATAATATTCTAGAAGAATTTAGAGGACTCTACTTAGTTCTAGAGCATTCTGCGTTCTTCCACACACTTCAAGAGACTTCCACACTTCGCTCAAAAGCTCTAGAATATTCTAGAAACTTCTAGATTCTTCTACGAGGCTTCTACAGTCTCTAGAAAATTCTACAACATTCTAGAAAATTCTATATATTTACACAAAGTATTTTTAGTATCCTCACACTAGTATGATCACATTCGTCATGCAGTATTCTCTGATAGACTAAAC